TAGCAGGTAATTGCAAAGACCATGGCCTGGATCAGGCTTCAAAATTTATATTTTCTTAGAGAAGGATTCAGAACAGTCTATAAAGGAAAAAAGAAACAAACAAAAATTGTTTGACACATCAAGTAGCTAGAAATTGATTGAGTGAAAAGATAATCTGAAGCTTACATTCAAAAGACATCAAGCCTTGTTATTGTGTACCCCATAGAGCTGGAACTGACCAATAGCTGACCCTCTAGCAGGTTTTCAGAGGCAGTTAATCACACAAGAGAAGATCACCCATCCTTCTCCCACAAAGCAGCTGTTGGCCTTGAACCCTGTGTCTTCAGGGTTGCAGCTTCTTGCCACTAGACCAGCATATCTCCCCAAGCTTAGGCAAAGTTTCAGTCTGTTCATAGAGTCTCTATGATTTGTAGTTGACTCAATAAAACAGAACAACAGCATTAGCTGGAACTTCTTGTTCCCAGTATAAACAATACATGTGAAGTTGAATCTCCTTTTTAGTAACAAAATATCTGAAAGTCTTATTGAACAGTGCTATTGAAAGCAATTAAGTATCAGCTAAAATGAATAAGTAGCTCATGTTTTCTGTTTTATAACTAAATAGCAATTATTATAGATAATTTTCAAGGTGGGTTGGCCTTGTACTTCATGGAATTCATGGGTAAAATGATAGAAAAATTATAACAAGCGGTAGTTCAATAGTAGAATTCTTGTCATCCATATGAAAGATCCAGGTTCAATTTCCGGCCAGTTCACCTCATGTGCAGCCACTGCCATTTGTTAGGGAATACCTGCTTCCTATATTGATACTGAACAGGTTTGAGTGAAGCATCCACATCCACAGAAAGGCTTTGTGATCTACTTCTGAAATCAGTCAATGAAAACTCAATGGATCACAAATGCTCCATCCATAAAAGATTATAGAAATAGCATAAAACCAGACAGGATTCCTTCTGTCATGAGCCACAGTGACTAAATGACAGTTAAAAATAACAAGATTAGCAAGCTATACATTTTCATATCCATCCCTTAAATAAAAAAGTACTAATTTTAAACTCTGATAATCATGCTTTCTGAGGCTGGCTTTGAAGCTACTTTATTGTTGTTAGGTGCTATCATGTTGATGGCAACTCATTCCTGTGCTGTGCCACGATCTCCATCATGCTTAATCCCATTGTTTGCAGTCTCTGTGTCAATTCATCTTATTGAGGATCATCTCCTTCACAGACCCTCTGGTCTTCCAAGCTTACGGTCCTTTTCCAGGAACTGTTCCTTCCTGATAGTGTGCTCAAAGTATGTGAAATGAAGTCTGATCATCCTTACCTCTAAGGAACACCCTGGCTGCACTTCTTCCAAGAGTTTTGTTTGTTCTTTTTGGCAGTCCTTGGTATATTCAGTACTCTGCCAACACCACAATTCAAGAGTAACAAGTTGAAACTATTTAGGATATAATGTGCATTTCAGTAAAGGGTTATATAGAGCAGAGGTACTTTTTATATGGCTTCAGGGAGCTCTGGTAATATAGTCTATAGGGTGGTACATTGCTAACCCAAAGGTGGTGCCTCTTTGGCAGTTTGAATCCACCAGTGGCTCATCAGGAGAAAGATGAACAGTTTCCTACTGTACAATTTATAGAACCCTGTTACCAGAGAGTTCTGACTAGATGGCAGTGAGCATCAAGTTTCTTACTTTAGTCAGGACTTTTGATGAATCTAGAAGTTATTTATCAGGTTCTTATTTGACATTCTTGGATTTATCATACTATACTACTTGACTGATTACATTATTATGTTGGTTGGGAGGGAAAATCTTTAGTAGCTCTGTGTGATTTTCAAAGTATTAATACTTGTTCCTACCTTGGTAGTCAAAGGACTCTGGTGCATTAGAAGGTTATGTATTGGTGGTGGTTGTTGATTGCTGTTGAGTCAAGCACGACTCATAGCCACCCAATGAACAAATGGCCTGATGCCTTTCTATAACTATTGTCATTTGTCAAAGTTCATAGAGTTTCCAGAGGTTGTTTAGGAAGTGGATGCCACTCCTGGGCTACTGCCTAAATGGTTGGTTTGAATCTGCCTACCATTATGTTGGGAGAAAGAGGAAAACCAGCCTGCTCCTGTTAAGATTTATAGCTTCAGAAACACAGGGAGAGTTGCCTTGCATTGCACTGACTTGATGACAAATAAGCTGAGGTTTTTTATGTTTTATTTCTTTTTAATTTAATTGTATTTTTATTGTAATAAAATTTAATCAATAAATTATGTAATATTTAAAAATATAAATAATGTAATAAATTTAGTAAGATAAAAATTTTAGTAAGATAAAAATTTTATTTCTTTTTATTTTTAAATTTATTTTTCGTATGTGGAAGTCCTACTGTTACAAATGTTACAGAAAAGACTGGTGGTTTGAACGTATCCATTGGCTTTGTGGGAGAAAACCGAGCAGTCTGTTCCAACTCATAGAGACTTTTCATGGTGTTTCTGATGCTTTAAATATTAAATGGAGGAGACTATTCATATTTATTCCATGGAGGAACTAGTGTACTCACACTACCAACCTTTTGGTTAGGAGAACAACCCCCTACCCATTATAACATCAGAGCTTCTTATATAGATTACAGCCTAGAAAATGCAATGGAGTAGTTCTACTCTGTCACATTGGTTTGTTATAATGTCTAAAATGGACTTACTTGATGGCACCTAATAACAATAGCTTGATATTGTTAATGTGTCATTATTTTAAACTTAGTTAAATGTGACTGAAGCATTCCGTGTATATACTGTGACCATACTGCTAAAATGATTGATATTATTTTATCTTGCAAAACAAATATTGAGGACTTTTTTCATTTCCAGTATTTGTATAGTATTTCAGTGTCTTGTACTTCATATGTGTTCAAATGATTGTTAAATGAGTGAAAATTATATTCCAAGTTTCTTAAAGACAGTATCTCTGTATTTTTTTCGTAGATCCTGACAAGCATTAAACTTAGTACCACAGAGTTAGTTCTAATTTCTTCATTGGATTTCTGAGGCAGTAAGTTATAATATGAGGGAACCGCTTATCTTCCTCCCATGGAGTTGCTGGTGGATTTGAACTGCCAGAGAGGTTCAGCCTTTGGGTTAGCAGTGCAGCTCCCAATAGACTATGCTACATGAGTTCCTCTGGCAAACAGTAGGTTCTCAATTTAAGTTTAATCAGTGTTAGTCCATCTAGGGTCTAGAGATAACCTCAGGAGTTTTATAAGGTTTCTAAGAATTTTGAAGTCTACTATTTTTTATTTTCAAGTAGGAAAAGAAAGTGAATGTATCTAGAATTATCTTGGATGACTACCACATTATACCAAATAATATGAAATTTCAGTGCAAATGTCTGAATATATATTTGATTGTGTTAGTATACAAATCTCCTAAAGGTATAATCTAATGTTTCTCTAAATCTGCAAGACAACTTTCTCCCCCTCTATCAAGGAGAATTTACATATTATTTAATTCTGAGAAAACATTACAATAAATACTTTATTGAAGTCCAGCTTACATTTTTATTTTTTCCCTGAAGTTTCCGTTCTAAATTTTCCTGCCTCTTTTCATATGCATAAGGTATTCTTGTTCTCTAGCATTACTGCTTTTTAAATGAAATTTTCAAAATATAATCTAGATCTAGTACAGATGTCTGATGTTTGAAGTCATGCACAGATTTCAGAAGCCTTTTCATCTTCAGGTAACCATATGATGTCTTTCCTTGTCATTCTAGTAGAAGTGTTCTTTACTTAATAACCATAGAGTCCATATCTTAGAACTTTGGCTTTTTGCAGTTTATAGAAGGAGATGTTTTTAGATTCAAATTTAAACATAAAAGGCTACCATAGTTTGCACTAGTCTACCTGGTATAGGACAGGAGTCATTGTGATTGGCACAGGACAGAGCGGAGTTTAGGGCTGTTGTACATAGGGTCGCTATGAGTCGCAGGCGACTCGACGGCACATAACAACAACAACAACAACCTGGTATAGGACAGGAGTCATTAGTTGGCACAAATCTTCATAGTTTCAAGGATAGGAGCCATGGTTTGCCAGAGGTTATCACCAGCTGTTCCTTTTTTGTTGAAGACTAGCATACATTTAAAAATTATTTCTTGACCTCTCAGCCTCTCAGGTGTAAGGGAGAAAAGAATCCTCCTTGGGTGGGTATTAGAATATCTTTGACTAAGTAGCATCATAGCCCTCCAAAGTATTTCTTGTAACAATTGAATAGGTAGAACTTTCCAATCTTTAGAAGGGACACAAGTCAGTCAGTAACCACATTTATTATGGCATTAATGGTAGGAGAGGTCTGGTAGCCCAGTGGGTAGGGAGTTGCACTACCAACTCAAAGGTGGTGGGCAGTTCAGATCCACCAGCTGCTTTGAGGGAGAAAGATGGACAGTCTTGTCCCTTGCAATTTATAGCCTCTGAAATCCTGCTGGAGTCAGTTGTGAGGCTGTGAGGATTTTTTTTAAGCAGCAATATATATATAGTTGACCAGTTTACCTATCAGATTTTCAAGGGAACAGAGGTTACAAGTTAACAAAAGATCAAGTTCTTATACTGAAGAGGAAAATACTTTTATTAAGCATTTATCCAAACTTCTATGACAGTTACTTATTTTGGCCTTGTTTTGTAGTTTTTGCACCTGTTTGTTCTTGTTGGAACATTGAAATACTTATTTTACTTTCAATTAGGGGTCCATATAGATTCAATATAATCTGAATCTCTATATATGAACCCTGAATCTATCCATCGGAGTCCTGTTAAAATAATTTCCACTGCTACTTTCTACTCTTGTGCATAATGTTTCCAGTGCTTATTGGGTGTATTAAATAATACTTTTCCCCGCAAGGATCCACCTGCTATAAAAAGACTATTTATGCACTCACATATTTCAGTAATTATGATTTAAAATTAATTTTAAAAAGTTAATTGAGGTTTTTTTTGATGCAACTTTTTTTTCTCTCCCTAGACCAGAATCCGTAGAAGCTAGCCCTGTGGTAGTTGAGAAATCAAACAGTTATCCCCACCAGTTATATACCAGCAGCTCACATCATTCACACAGTTACATTGGTTTGCCCTATGCGGTAAGTGTCAAACATATCTCTGAAAAGGTTTTATTTGTTAAATCTAGAGGTTGAAAAATAAATTTATGTGGTATTACACTTAAAACAATGTATTTTAAAAGCATAATTGTTTCTTACTATCTAAATAAAATTATTTATAGCCTAATTTTATATTAGCCACATAATTATTCAAATTATTAAAATTCTGTAAGAGAAATTCCCCAGAATTTTAATTTTTTTTTACATTTTATACTATTACTGGTTTGTTGTAATCATTCTCTGTTTCTATAAAGACCACAGAATTGAGGTATCTTAGCTACTGTTGAGTCTAAATTACAATGTTACTGTTTAGTTAGCATTTATTTTGTGCAAATCTCTATGCAGTTATACATTTATTACTTTATTAGTTTCTCAGTAACAACCCCATGAGATAGGTACAGTTATGTACATTTTATAGCTGACAAAAGAAAAACGTATTGTGGTTAACATACTTGGTATAGAATAGCTGGTAAGAGTAGATTTTTTTAAAAAACTTATACTAGTTTATTTACAAATTTCAAATACATTGTTTTGCAGAATGGAATTTAGAGGTAGACTTTAGATTCAAAGAGATTTTCAGGCAAAATTCTTTTTGGTAAAATTAATTTTACTATTTGGAGAAATTTTTGCTATTTAAATCAGCATAAAAATTGCCAAATTAAAACAAGATTTTCACTTTATACATAAGAAAGTAATTTTGTTGTTTTTGTTATTCATTAGCCTCTACACTTTTGAAGCTTTTTAAAATCTCAATTCTTAAGGGTGCTCTGGTGCTTAGTAGCAAGAAGCTGCGCTGCAATCCTGAAGGCGCGCTGTTCAAATCCCCCAGATGCTCTGCTGGAGCAGGATGGGCAGTCTCTTCCTGTGCCAGTCGGATCCAACTAGATGGCACACAATGGGGGGAAAAATCTCAGTTTTTGTATTTCTCAATTTAATTATGTGTGTGTGTTTGGTGTAAATAAAATCAACAAAACAGTATCATATTAGCAGTTTTTCCATGCACAATTCAGAGATGTTCTTTTACAACTATTAACATAAACTTAGTGCTCCACAAGTAAAATCTCCCATTCCTTTCTTACCTTTGATGGCCACCAATAAGCTTTTCTTTGTGGGATTTTTTCCATGTAAGTGAGATCATACAATATTTGTCCTATTGTGATTGACTTGCTTCACTCAACATGGTGTTGTCAAGGTTCATTCATGTCCCTTGCCTTGTGCACAGAAGATAGAGCTCTGTGCCCATAAGACGGTGAAGATGTCTTCTGTTTTTTAGGAACAGAGTTTAGGTATGAAGGTGAACAAGTTTATACTCACTTAACACTGTGGTTTTGTATCTGGCATCATCAGGTCATAATTTTAAAGGAATTAAGGAAGATGTAAATCAATTTCATGTCTCTGAGTATTCAAATTAGGGTAAGAATTTTGTTTAAATTGTTAAGTTTGTAATCAGTCAAATTAAGTAATATTATTCTGTACTTGTGTTTAATTATCCAGGACCATAATTATGGTGCTCGTCCTCCTCCAACACCTCCGGCTTCCCCTCCTCCATCAGTTCTTATTAGCAAAAATGAAGTAGGCATATTTACTACACCTAATTTTGATGAAACTTCCAGTGCTACTACCATCAGCACATCTGAGGATGGGAGTTATGGTACTGATGTAACCAGATGCATATGTGGTTTTACACATGATGATGGATACATGATATGTTGTGACAAATGCAGGTAAAATATTTTACATCACTTGTAGATTTTTTTCATGAATACTGCTAACCTCTAATTGTTAATGTTGAAAAGATAATGAAAATAAAATTTAAAGGAATTGAGTGTATTTTTAAAGTGATTCAGACCATGACTACTATTGATAGTTTATTTTGCTCCTAGAAAAAAATCCTTATAGAGAAAAAGCAATCTTAGAACTTTTAGAAATCCCCATTGTTAACTGAGTAATAGATAGCCAGTTCTGAACTTGATGCATATTTTTTTTTATTCAGTTCAGTAATAATACTAGTAAATATAGTGGTAGACAAGATGGAAAAAATGAGAGAATTGAGTCCTTTATATTTTATTGAAAATTATTTGTGCTGTAGCAGTGAGTGATGATTTTCCAGTTTGGGGGAATTATATATTTTGATTGATATTTGTTTGACTTGACTCTCTCACCTCCTTTTGACTTGAACCTTGCAGCACTCTGGAGTCTTCTTGAGCCAGAACCACAGACTCCCCTCCCCCAACCCTGGTTCAGCCACCACGAAAGGCCTCTTGCCCTAGAGAAGGTGTGATTGGGACAGAGAGTGGGGTTTTGTTTTACTTATTTATTTATTTTGTGGGAGGGGAAGGTATTGGGGAGGATGGAGAGGGAATAGTAGGATTGCAGCCTGAAAGTTATTGAGTCCATTCCCTGCACAGGGTGAGGAGCAGAGCTTGATAAAGCAGTGCTTTATAGAGGCTGAGAAAGTTTGATAGCTTTGCAGTATTTTCTGAGTTTGGTCCTTATGACATTGCTTTATTATTTGATTTTAAATAGTATAGGATATATCCATATTTGAATATGAGTATAAAAATTCATCCTAAAGCCAAACAGAAATTATTTGATATTTGTAGTAGTCTTCTTGTGTGTTTGATTAGGTGTTTAGGAGTTGAATGAATGAATATCATTGATAAAACATAGTCTTATTTTAAAAAGTTGGCCTACTTTTGACAAATAGAAAATTTAAATGTTAACTAAAATGATTTTTATTTAAAGTTGTAATTTTTTAGTTGTAATTTTTGATTTAAAAATAAAAACTTTTTAATGGTACAATTCTAAAGTAGAAAAGAAATTCTTATTAACTATGAGTAACATGCCTTAATAAAGTTACTTGGAAGGAAAATTTAATACAAAACAAAAGAAACTTTAGTGACACCATACTTTCTTAATAGTTTGTAGTTAGCTATTGTTAATAGAAAATGTCAATTCATTTATATAGCAATTCCTGTGTGGAAGAACTCTCTCTTAGGTGATCTTGTGTAATATGATAAATTGCCATTTGACAATGTTTTAGCTTTTCTTTCTAATGATAGTGGTCTATATATAATAGAGAATTTTTTCTTTTCTTAGAAGACAGTGAAATAGCCTTTAGGATTTTATAACTAGCCACAGAATTTTAAAAGACCTATTCACAATTTTTAAACTATTGAAGATATTTGCTTCTCAGCAATTACTCTCTTTGGTATGACATCCTGTAGCATACTACAAGGTTTAATTTTTTTCCCATTCTATTCTTATTTTATATTGCTTCTGTATATATTTTCATGTTCCTGCTGCCCATTCTCATCTATTTCAAGTCAAACAATCATCAGCTCTGATCATTTATTCATTTTCCAGCTTCTTTTCTTCTGTTGTCTGTATGACACATTACTTACCCCCACAAATTTCATTTTCACTTGCTATTCCATTCCTTTTTCATATTCTATTACATTCTCCAGCCTACTAGTTAGTTATTATATCAGTGTTCTCAGATTTACCTTTATGTGGTTCTTTTTAGCTATGTTAATATAATTTTGTTTTTTGTTAGTTACCTGAATTACTTATATAGATTCTTACCTGCAAAGTTTTTGTTAAAAAATGAAGAGCAATGCAGTAGTAGTTAAATATTTTAAAAAAGCTAAATTATATGAAGAATAATTAAGACTAATTTTGCAATCAAGGAAAATCTTGGGAATAAAATGTAAATTTTATTAGTAAATTGAGACATCTGCCTCAGTCTGGTCCATATATTCCATTTTGAAAGGTTAGTGCAATGAAAACGTTTTCTTCTTTATTCTCATAGTATGCCTTTGGGACTCTTTATTTTCTCTGCCATCATTCTGGCTCTGTGCTTCATTAAGGTCTAGGATGTTTGAGTAGGAGCCTGGTGCAACTTTAAAGTGCTCAGCTACTGAGCCCAGGCTTGGCGGTTCAGAGCCATCCAGAGGCTCTCAGGGAGAAGGAGTACAGCTTAGGGAATCTTATGAAGGTATTTCTACTCTGATGGTACCTAAAAACATCAGGATGTTAGCAAAACCTTTTAGTTGGTCTGATTACTTCTATTTCTTTATTGTTTTTAAATAATACTGTGCACCACCAAAGCACCTCTAACCTTTTGTGGGTTGGAGGAATCTACACACACTCAGATTTGAAACCCTATACAATCAGACTGTAGTTTATTAATCTAACCTTGCTCTTTTTTCTTAAAATGACTGTTTCTCATACATATTGTTCCTCTTCTGGCTTTTGTAAATCTGTCTAATTGAGAAGAGAATGCTACAGTGATACCTTTTCTTCCTAATTTCCCAAATGAGATTCTATTGAAGTCTGGTATTCTTCAGAGTGCTTTTTCCCCCTGGGTGCTTTCCCCCTTTAATTCTAAGCAGTGACTATAGTTATGACCTCTTGCAAGAGTGTTTGATGGGTGAATATCTCTTGAACTTTGTGATTTTTTAGTATCCTCTCTAATATAGTAACCTGTATCTTTTATATTTTAAAATTGTATTTGTTATAGAAGTTTGTATATATAAATATGCACATACATATATGTGTATATATCATATATTTGTTTTCTTGTGTTTGCATCTCAAAGTTTCATTCCATAAGGTCAAATTTATATGAATTTGTCATAGTACCTTTTAGAGTACTAAGGTCAAAGTTGGCTTTTACTATATGATAGTTAATTGGAACACCAAATCTTAATTTGAGGATGTATTTTAAATAATCCTTTATATGTTTTGTTGTTTGGTTTTTTCTTTTCTCTCTTTTTTTTTAAAGTGTTTGGCAGCATATTGACTGCATGGGGATTGACAGGCAGCACATACCCGATACATATCTATGTGAACGTTGTCAACCTAGGTGAGTTACACATAGGTGATAAGATTGCTGATAATTTTACTGAAGTAATCTTCAGTTAACAAAAATTTACTTAAGAATTCTGGAGATAGAATTAATAAATGGCTGTATTTAACGATGCAAGTATTTTAAGATTCCTTTACATTTTGTTATTTTTGTATTTTGACTTCTCTAAAATCAATAAGACTTTTTGCCACTGATGATGATGTTATGTGGAGTTGGAACCAGTTCATAACTGACCTTCAAACCGTTTCAGAAACTGTAAATCACATTGGAGGAGAGACTTTCCATATTTATCTCATGGAACGAGAAGTGGATTAGAACCGCATGACTTTGTATTGGCAGTGTAACTCCTTAGCACTAGGCCACCAAGACGCCCTTTGATAGTGTGCTATAATTTGTAGAATATTTACGACAGATCCCCTCCTCTATTGGATGAGACTATGCTGAGTTTTTAGAAGTGCTCTTAGTTGCAGCAGTTCCCTTTTTCTTTCTTTTTTTGGTAATATCTTGCTATAGATATTTTGTTTTCTTAAAAATAAACATATTTTTATAATGTACATTTAAAATCTATTTAAAACTGCAGTAATATAATGAGCCCACACATTTCCTTCACTATGGCTTAACTATTTTCAACAACCCATGGTACTATAGTTTGTTGGTTATACCTTTTTAAAGACAAAACTGTTAAACAAAACTGCTATAAATATTTATGTACAGGTTTGTGTGAACATAGATATTAATATTTCTGGCAATAACTATTCAGGAGTGAAATTACTTGGCTGTACACATACTTAGTACTTTGAGAAATTACAGAACTGTTTTCCAGCATAGCTATATTCTTCTATATTCTTAGAAACAGTATGAGTCATTATTTATTTTTTTATTTTAGGGAGTTTTAAAATTTTTAAAATTTAGCTGCTTCTGATTATGTAAGAAGTACTTAATCACTTAGAGGTCAAATATATAAAAGAAAGTATATTTTATCTTTGTCCCTTTTACTATACTTAAAATTTTTTTCTCCTTCCTTTGTTTGTGTTCCATTATAAGCTATTAAATATTTGCATTCTCACCTTATTCAAGTAAAAAGTATCTATCATATGATAAAGTTTTCACTGTACATGCTGAAAATCACGTCATAGTAGTATAGAGAGATGTATTTTATTTTTCCAGGGCTCTCCCTTTATATCATATTCCATAGTTTACTGAACGATTACACTTTGGGTGTACATTTGAGTTATTTCTAGCCTTCTATGACTCCGAATAGAAGTCACATTATTTTGTTAAATGTGTAAATGTGTGTAAATTAGGTCATATATTGCCAGATTGCCCTCCAATGAGGTGTGCACTTTTTAATTCTTGCTGTTGGAAAATAGCCTGGCTATTTTTCTAGCTCTTAGTGATGTGTTTGGCAGACGTAGAAGTGGGAGCTCTGGTGGCATGGTGCGTAGAGTGTTGTATTGCTAACCAAAAGGCTGCATTCTTAGTGGTCTGAATCCACGAGCTGCTCCTGGGGAAAAGATTGGTCAATCTCAATCTGTACACCATTTACAACCTCGTAAACCCAGTAGAGAGTCAGTATGAGTTGTGACTGACATGAAGGCAGTGACTGAGTGAATTAGGTGAGAAATGATAATCACAGTGTAGTTACACTTAGCATTTCTCTTAAAGTAGACCTTTCTGTGTGGTTTTGTTTCACTCTTTTTGTTTGTTTGACACCCTTTTCCAGTTTTTGATGGGATAAATATCTATTGATATATTCTTCAAGTTGAAACTAATCGGTTTAAAACTGACCAGTAGGGGGAAAAAAACTGACCAGTAGGAAGACAATGAAAATATCTGTATATAATTCTGTCGTAATTAGGATAGCTATTTGTCTTGCAAAGATATATCCAGTAGAAGATAGTAAGGCAATCTGTTATTAAATTTTATATGTTTTAGTATAGAGCCCTTTCTTATTCTGAGAATAATATTGAATGATATTTGATCTCTGGACTAAGAAAAGAAAGAAAAATAATTACTCTGGATAGAGCAGTGTATAAGGATGTTGGGGGAGATAAATGAAATATTTTACATAATTGCTAAGTGCTTCTTCTTCTTGGGAACATGCTTCATAACCCTTTCCACATTTTTATGTGGCAAGGATGCAGTACTTTTTTTACAACTAAGCCATCAGAGCTTCCTAAGGATTCAGTACTTTTTAAAAGGAAATTTAAGATGAAGTCAAGAGATTCCTGAAAGAGTTGAAGATGAATGAAGATTTGGGAATAAAAATTTGTTCTTGTATGTTTTGTTTTTTAAAAGTTTTCTGCTTGTCACAGAAGAAAAAAAATTGTGTTGTTTGCTTACATTGTCAGTTCCAATTCTATTCAGCAGCTTCCTCTTTGCTTTGTTCCGAATAGCCTTATATGTTCATTCTTGACATCTGAATTAGTGATTAATTATGGAGTATTCTATCAGTCAGCTGTTACTGTATAACAAATAGTTTTAAAATTTAGCTGTTTAACACAAAGCCACATGATTCAGTGGGGAGGCTGAATGGTTCTTTTTTTATTGACTTGGGCAGAGTTTGCTAATATGTATGTTGAGCTGGTGGTTCAGCTCGATGATCTTGACTGGCTTCATTCACATAGCTGGCTATTGGCAGGTTGAGGGACGGGTGCTGTCTGGCTAGGAATACTTTAGATCACATCTTCTCCTTGTATTTTTTTTTTATTTCTTCTTTAAACCCATGGTTACCAATGTGTAGGAAAATTAAAGATGATTGAAAATGTTTGTTATATTTTAATAGGGCATCTTGGGTTCCTTCACATGATGGCCTAGAGTTCAAACCACAGTTGCTAAATATTTTATTTCAAAAGTTGAATTAACTTGAGGCTCATAGTAATAACATAACATATTCTAATTGAGTATCTACATTTACATTAAGAAAATTAATTTGTGATTTTAAATACATTGTTAAAATTTACTTTTTTCAGAAGGTTTTACTAAAAATATTTAAAGCAATTAATTACTAAACTCTTAAGTTTAAAAAAATCTTAACAGTGACAGGAGTCACTGACATAACTGCTTAATATGTCTGACCATATACAAACTGTAAGGAGAAAGATAATTGCATTTTTTACTGTTGGTTGTTCACTAAAAAGAAATTGTAATGCTTACTGCATTTAAAACATAACTGCTTCATATTTAAATTAATGAAATTTCAAAAAATAATCATGTTAATATTTTATTGTAGGAGTTTAGATAAAGAGAAGGCAGTGCTACTACAACGCCGGAAAAGGGAAAATATGTCAGGTGGGTAAAAAAAGATCTATATGAAAATAAGATTAATGTGATTGAGAAAATAAATAGTCTGTATAGTTTAGATGTAAATTCTCTACGGAAGAATGCTGATTGTATGTATAATTTACAGCTTCAGGTATAGAATCTAAATTATTCTACAGAATATAAATTATTCTTGTTTTTCAGGTTATAAAATCAGTGTGTACTTACTTAGGAAATATGGGAAGTGAGGAAAATAGACATTTGAAATCATTCATAATTTTCCTACACATAGGTAACCCATAGATTTAAAGAAGAAATAAAACATACTTGTTCTTCATAAAGACAGTGATGTATTTGTAATGTGTAATGGTAGTTCTTTTGTTTTTAGAAACAGAATATAGAAGTATAACATCCCATAATTTTCACTTTGGCCTAAGATTTTACCAATACAACTAGTTTTGAGTAAGCATAATTTAATCAACCATTCCTCAGTGGACATTTTATTTGTGGTATTTTTTTATAAGTTATATTTTATTTTGCTACTACACATAGTACTTTTAACAAGAAGTTAGTGTATTTTTGTCATTTTGTTTTTTTGTTAACTCCCAGAAATGGAATTGTAGGGTCAGCCAGTAAGTTCATTCATAATTTTGCTGCTGCTGTTATATACTGTCTCAATGGAACCAATTCATAGTTCCTCTTTCAGTAGAACCAACTCGTAGCTGACTTTTCAGCAGGTTTTCAGAGATTGTGAATTGCATGGGGGGAGCTCGTCCATCTCTGTGTAGAATCTGGTGGATTTGAATCACATGCCTTTGGGTTGGCAGCACAACTTCTTACCTCTGAGCTCCCTATAATTTTGCTAGATACTACTACTAAATATACCTCTGAAGAGAATATTGAGTTTTAAGTAGTATGGTCCAACTGTTTCTGTTTTCCCAATCTCACTTCCAGAATATATCATCAAATCCTTGAATTTTTTTCATTTTTTTTCTAGCATAATAGGTGAAGAATAGTATTTGTAGTTTTCATTTAAATTTATCTTACTGTGAGTGACATAAGTGGGAAAAAATATTGTTTATTCTTCAGAAAGGAGATCCAGTCCAAGCCACACAATGTAGAATGCTATTTATTTTAATATTTGAAATAGGTAGTCATTTTTATTTTGCCTTTCAAGATGGTGATACCAGTGCAACTGAGAGTGGTGATGAAGTTCCTGTGGAACTATATACTGCATTTCAGCATACGCCAACGTCAATTACATTAACGGCTTCAAGAGTTTCCAAGGTTACTGATAAAAGAAGGAAAAAAAGTGGGGAGAAAGAGCAAAATATTTCAAAATGTAAAAAAGTAAGTAAGTTTTTGCTGTTACAAAAATGGTTAGAGTGAAAGGCTGAGTTTTAAAGAAAAGTCAAGTAGTGTTATATAGGAAAGAAAGAAGAGTATTGAGACAGGAGTTGTTTTTATGTACCTTCAAGTTGTAAATGACTTCATAGCAGACCCTCTACCAGTTGAATTGTATGCCTTCAGGTTGGTTGTACAGCTCCTTACTTAGCACTAGGACACCAGAACTCTCTATGGAGAAAGGTAAGAAGAGTTACTGAAGGTAGTGACAGGGTCTAGATAAAAACAAAACACTTAAAAAATTTTTTAGGCAACTTATTACATTTTTTTATGTTTTAAAGATTAAAGCAGAATAGAGAGAACTTTTGGAACCTTCTTTGAAATAACAGCTCTAATCTGAATATTTATAAAAATGCAAATGTTAAAATAGAAAAAGAAATTATATTTTTAGGAAGCAAATAATAGTTCTAAATTTTTAGTAACTTATGAACAGGTAAAGAAGCAGATTTATCTATAATGATTGCAAATAATTTTTAAAAACTATTTGAATATATAAAGCCTTAGTGCCACAATGGTTAACCGCTTGACTGCTAACTGAAAGGTTGGAAGTCTGAATCCAGCAGCTACTCTGAAAAGACAGCTCATGTGGTACTTTGAGTCTTCATAAAGATTTACAGTCTTGGAGACCCTGTTAGATATTCTCTTCTGTCCTGTAGGGGTATTAGGAGTCTGATGTGAGGGAACAAAACCAGGTTTGGCTTGCTATATTTTTTTAATAGTAAGTAATTTTAATAGGACTCCTTCTTCTTGTTGAAAACTTTATAGATTTTTTTTTAACTTTTGTAATTTAATTTTGTGTATGTACTCTCAAATTGGATCTGATTAGTACAGGAGATTGTCCCTCCTTCTCAGCACAGCGTCTGATGGATTTGAACTGCTTACCTCTGGGGTTGCAGTGCAGCTTCTTGCCACTAGGCCACCAGAGCTCTCCAAAATCTTTATAGGTTTTTTTATACATAAATTTTATGTGATAAATTATCCCTTGGAATCCTAGTGGCAGAAAACTATTTATAAACCACTTTTTCATTATATTTGTTATAATAATTAAAAAAGTTTTTGTTACATAAGGTAAAAAAAAACCCATTCACAGGGAACTACCAGAAACACAAGCTGGGTTTAGAAGAGGTTGTGGCACTAGAGACATTATCACCAATGTCAGATAGATCGTGTCTGAAACAAAGAATACCAGAGGAATGTCTATGTTTTTCATTGACTGTGCAAAGGCATTTTACTCTGTGGATCACAGCAAATTGTGGCTAACCTTGAGGATAATGAGAATCCTGAACACTTGATAGTACTCATGTGAAACTTATACTTGGACCAGAAGACAGTCATCAGAAAAGAGCAAAGAAACATGCTTTCTTTGGTTCAAAATCAGGAAAAGAGTGCATCAGGGTTGTGTCCCGTCTCCATACCTTTTCAATCTATATGGGGAACAGATCATTTGGAAGACTGGACTTTAGGATGAGGAATGTAGCATCAGGATTGGAGGAAGACTCAAACAACTTGTGATATGCAGATAACACAACCTTGCTTGCTGAAACTGAGGAGGACCAGAAGCGCTTGCTGCAGGTTAAGGACTTGTAGTCTCAATATAGATTGAAGCTCAATATCAGAAAGACAAAGAGTCTCACCACTGGGCCATTTTGGCAGCACCATGATAGATGAAAAAATTGACATCGTTAACAGCTTCAGCTTGCTTGGTTACACAGTCAACACTCTTGGCACCAGCGGTCAGGAAATCAAAAGACAAATTACACTGGGAAAATCTGCTGTCGAGAGACCTCTCCAGAGTACTAAGAAGCTGTGATGTGAGTCTAGAGACTAAAGTGTGCCTGATCCAAGCCATGGTCTTTGCAGTTACTTGCTATGCATTAGAGAGTTGGACAGTGACTAAGGATGGCAAAAGAATCAATGCCTTAGAACTGTGGTGCTGGAGAAGAGTATTGAACATACCATGTCAAGAGAACAAACAAGTCTTTCTTGGAGAGGGTGAAACGAAGTTTCCCCTTGGAGGGTACGATTTTAAAACTCCATCTCACATGCTTTGGTTACATGACCAGGAGGAACTGGTCCTTGGAGAAGGATGTCATGCTTGGAAAGGTGGGGGGAAAGTGCCAAGGAGGAAGATCCTAGATGAGATGGATTAATACACACAAATTGGGCACTAAGGGGAGCTCTGGTGGCCTAGTGGCAAGAAGCTGCACTGCAATCCCAGAGGAACACAGTTCGAATCCACCAGATGCTCTGCCGGAGAAGGAGGCGCAATATCCTCCTGTACCAGTCAGATCTGATTTGACGGTACACGCACACAAAATAATAATAATAATAAAAAAAAACAACAAATTGGGCACTTAAATATATTTGGGTCTGTGTTGCTTGCTTAAAAGTTTATGTGATGCTCACCCATGTTTATCTCGGCTTTGTTCACAATTGCAAGGAGTTGGAAATAACCTAAGTGCCCATCAACAAACGAATGGATAGAGAAGCTGTGGTATATTCACACAAGGGAATAGTACGCTGCATTGAAAAACAAGGAACCTCATGCAATATTATTAAAAATGGGTGACCCTGGAGGACATTATGCTGAGTGAAGTATCTCAGTCACAAAAGGACAAATACTTCATGGTGCCACTGTTGTAGAACAGGACTGACCTCAGGGTTGGGGTGAGACTGAGAAAGATGGGTTCAGTAATGTACACTGCATTGAAACAGATGAGGGAGAAAACCGTTTAAAAGGGATATGTGATTAGGTATTTTTGCCATGACAGGAGTCCAGAGCGAAGGCTGCATAATGGAGTGGACCTGGGGCGGGGGGAGGGATTGTAAAACAATGAAAGAATTTTTCTTTTACTTTTCCAAGAGGGTAGTAGTAATAGGGGGGAGGATTGGGAAGGGAGAAAAGTGCAACAATGACTGAGTGGAAATACAAAGTCTCTGTAAATTTTCATTGAAATTCATAATAAATTAAAAAAAAATACCATTTAAACCAGCATTTCCACTTCTGGGAATTTACCCTAAAGAAATCATAACTGACATCCAAGCAGATATATGCACACCAATGTTTATTGTGGCTTTGTTAGCAATAGCAAAGAGCTGGAAACAACCCAAGAGCCCATCAACAAATGAATAGATAGAGAAGCTCTGGTATATTCACACAATGGAATACTATGCAGCACTGAAAACCAAGGAACTTATGAAATACTATGCTAAGTGGATGACCCTACAGGACATTATGCTGAGGGAAATATCTTAGTCACAAAAGGACAAATACTGCTTAGGGCCACTATTGTAAAATAGGACTGACTTTGGGATTGACGGAAGACAGAGAAGAAGGGGAGGAATGATATATAGTGCATTGCAACAGATGAAGGAGAGAACTGTTTAAAAGGGATATATGATTAGGTATTATTGTCATGACAGGAGTCCAGAACCAAGGCTGCACAGTGCAGTGGACTTGGGGGAGGGATTGCATAGCAATGAAAGAAATTTTCTTTTACTCATCAAGGAGAAAAGTGAATTGGGGGCGGGGGGATGGGCAGGGAGAAAAGCGCAACAATGAATGACTGGAAACCCTAAGTCTCTGCAAACTTTCATTAAAATTAATTAAAAAAAAACAACCCTCTAGGAATTTTAAAAAATAAGTTTATGTGTGTTAGTCTCTCTAAATAGAGTATTTCATGGGATTTTTTTACTGGTTTGTTGGTTGCTGAGAGAAATAGGAATTAAATCTATTCTCTCTTTGGATCCAAGCAAATAGTGGTCTTCTCAGAAAATAATTATTGAAATAAATGTGGCTGTGTTTATTACAGCATTTACTAATAAAATCCATTAAGTGCTCAAATACTATTTGCTCCTTATAGAATTAAAGTAATGACATTATTTTAGGGGCCCTAAATTTATCAAAATGTCTATATTTACATTGCCCCATTTTAATAATTATTTTCCCACAATTATATTAGAACACAAATAAGATGTTAGTTTTTGTTTGTTATACATATTTGTTTTGCATTTTATTTTTAATAATAGAATAATAGTCTATCAAATGTGCTTATTTGAAATACTGTACTAACTAAATTTAATGGTTATTACATTTTTATTTAATGAAATCTCATTAAATAGCTTTAATAATTACATTATTAAGTATTAATTACATTCAGTTTAAGAACATTCTAACCCAGAATTTATTTTATTTAGGCCTTTCGTGAAGGATCTAGGAAATCATCAAGAGTTAAGGTAAATGCATTAAATTTTGGGCCATTCTTATCAACTATGAATTATTGAAGTTATTAAGTTATATATAACTTAAGTTATTAAGTAATATAAGTTATTAAGTGGTTGCTTATCTAAAGTCTTTGTGATCTCTATATTGTTTGTCATTTCACTGCTTATTAGTATCTGTACTAGAAGTAGAATCATAGAATAGTCTTGTTAAATTGTTACATCAGCCTTATAATTTACTCAGAAGACTCAACCTCATTGCCATAGAGTAGGAAGAGACTCCCAGCTGACTCTTCAACTGGGTTTTGAAAGCTATAATTTGCATAGGAAGAGTTTGCCCATCTCATCTTCTCCAAGCTGTTGGCAGATTTGAACTGGCAGAGAATTGCCACCTTTAGATTAGCAGCATAACTCCCACCAGGAGGTTCATTGAAGTTTATTAACAGTATTAAAACATTAAGCAGAAGATAATCATATCCAAACACCTGAGGAAATGTATTGCTGGTTCTGAGACCTTGGGACCATAATATTAGGGAGCATCAGAGTCATCTGGCATAATGTAATCACCAAGATTCTACATCCTCTTTTGGTGAGGTCTTAAAAGTTTACAAGCAGCCATGACTAGAACAAAAAAGAAGAAAAGCAAAGATATCCTGCAACATTCTATAGGATTTATGGATCACATGGACCTCAACTTCCAAAGTGTAGAAGAACTAGACAGTACCAGGCTACTACCAGTGTTGACCACTCTAAAAGAGATCACACTAGAAGATCCTGGATAGACTGAGGAAAAATGGAGAACAAAATAATAAACATTAAAAAAAAAGAAGGAAAAAGGGCCAAGCCTTTTTATTAATCTGATAGAAACTGGAGGAGTTTACCCCATGGTTCAATTTTTAGCAGAATAGGCATATATGGAGACCAGTAACACAAGAGAAGCAGTCACTCCTTAAAGAACCAACCAAATAAAGTCAAAAGAGCAGCATTTGATCAGAGAATAAAAGCCCATAAGGCAGGAAGGGTCAGAATAGAAGAATGAGGAAATGAGAATTACAAGGAGAAATTCTGTAACATTGTAATTAATGTTACAAAACAAAATGTATATGAATGATTCAGTGGAAGACCAATTTGTTCTATAAGCTTTACTCATCACAAAATCAAAACCAAAGAACCTACATTAAATAAATGAGGTATAGAAAAAATGTTTAGTATTAAACTTTAAGCAGAAGATAATCTGAATCTTAATTATAACTATATTTCATATTTCCAGTACCTATCTAGTAATATATTAGAAATATGACTATAGAATAACATTTGAATTTTGAAAATTTATATAATTGGGATTCTAGTGATTTAATGAAATGTCATAATATAATGTGAAATCACAGTTGTGCAACCTTAGAAGCATAAAGTAAACTAATCATTTTTACCTTGTTTTTTAATTAGAATGCATCCTTAATTTTATAGGTTTGAAATTGCTGGGGTAGGGACAAGGCTGAATATATTTCTATAAAAATGCAGTGGATAGCGTAAATAAGAAGTAATCTCTAATACTCACTTCCATTAAGCTGATTCCAACCATAGTGACTACTGGGTTTCCAAGGCTGCAAATCTTAAGGGTACTGCTATCTTATTCTGTGGATCCACTGGTGGATTTGAATTGATCAAGATGCATGGCCTTTTGTTTAGTTAGTGCACCATGCTACTACTGACTACACCACCAGACCTCCATAAAAAAAGTAGTCTCTCATATTTTGTAAAAATCTTGTCTTAGTATGAACTGGATAACCAGTGTACTCTGTAATTAAAAGTCTTATTATTTTATCAAAATGATCCACTATAATATAGGTGTATATAGAAAATCATTCCTAAAATAAGCCTATCTCCATGGAATAGTTGAGCTGCTTCCTATATATTTCATTGGAGAAAAGAATGATACATTTTATTAAAGATTGGTCACTCATACGGAGACTGAGATGATGGCAAATTTTAGTAATATGTTACTCTGTATATGTGCATGCTTAGGAATATTATAGGATGAATCTGTTTTTCTCATCAAGGTTTTCAATATCATGAAAAGAAATTGCTAAATAGGATCTATAATTTGAATTGTTTATATCCATTATAGTGTTGATTGAAGATAACCAAAAGATAGCTTTTCATTTCATTATGTGATTTGGTTGGGTTTTGTCCTAAAATTGCAAACAGGCATTAAATAGTATGGTGAAAGTCCAAGTTGTTTTTTTTAAATATTTTTCTAAGTTTGTTGTGTGTGTACCATCAAATCAGATCTGACTGATACAGGAAGAGATTGTCCCTCCATCTCCAGCAGAGCATCTGGTGGATTTGAACTGCTCACCTCTGGGATTGCAGTGCAACTTCTTGCCATTAGGAAGTCCAAGTTTTAATACATTTTAGAATGTTTAGTAATTATGCTTCTTAATAAACTGCTTTTTAATTAGACATGTATTCTCTTATTTTGTACCACATTAAGAAAAGATGTAGTAACCTTTAGATACCCACCTGGCATTCAGCATTCAAACCCTCCAAGTTTTAGAGTCACTTTAAGACAATGGACTTGGATTTTTTTTAATAGAGGAGGAGTAAGCACTTTTAAGTCAGACAGTTCATGTCCTCATAATAAGACTGTGAACTGTTTTAGTTAATTTCACATTCTGGGAATTATTTTTTACCTTACGTAAATTTTATCATGTATTATGGAGGAGAAATGTGGGCTCAAGATTGGTGGACGATTTATCAACAATCTGCATCATGTGGATGACAGAACCCTGCTTGCTGAAACTGAGGAGGACCTGAAGCGCCTGCTGCAGAGTGTCAAGGACTGCAGCCTCCAATATGGATTGAGGCTCAATGTCAAGAAGACAAAGATTCTCACCACTGGACCAATCGGCAGCATCAGGATGGATGGTGAAGAGATTGAGATTATACACAGCTTTAGTTTGCTTGGCTCCATAGTCAACAGTCTTGGCACCAGCAGCCAGGAAATTAAAAGGCTCATTGCCATGGGAAAGTCTGCTGTTAGGGACCTCTCCAAAGTACTGAAGAGCAATGGTGTCTCTCTGGAGACTAAGGTGCATCTGATACAGGCCATGGTCTTCGCAATCACTTGTTATGCATCAGAGAGTTGGACAATGACCAAGGAGGATAGAAGGAGAATTGATGCCTTTGAGCTGTGGTGCTGGAGAAGAGTATTGAGAATACCATGGACTGCTAGGAAAACAAACAGATTTGTCCTGGAAGGGGTTAAACCGGGTGGCTCCTTGGAGGCAAGGATTCTGAGGCTCTGTCTAACATACTTTGGACATGTTGTGAGGAGAGACCGGTCCTTAGAGAGGGACATCATGCTTGGGAGGGTGGAGGGCCAGCGCAGGAGAGGAAGGCCCTCTATGAGGTGGATTGATTCAGTGACTGGAATAATTGGGATGGGAGTATCAGAGACTGTGCGATTGGCACAGGACAGAGCGGAGTTTAGGGCTGTTGTACATAGGGTCGCTATAAGTCACAAGCGACTTGACGGCACATAACAACAACAAACAAAATTATGGATTATACACCTAATAAATTTGACATAAGGTAAAAATTGTCATGTGTATTATGGATTATGGTTGCCTAGTGGTAAGATACTGCACTACAATTCTAAGCGCACATGGTTCAAATCCACCAGCTTGCTCCATGGGAGAAAGAGGGGCACTCTCTTCACATGTGATTTACTGCCTCTGATAACTTGCTGGAGGGTGAGTTATGAGTTGGTTCCAAACAACATTATGGATTATAGATTATGTTAAAAGTAGTATATCAAAGTATATTTTTATTGTAAAAGGTGTTGGTATTCTAGTGTTAAGTCAGGAGTTATAGTCTTAATATGAAACCTGTAGATCACATAATTGCAGATTTGTGTTACCAGACTTATCTGTATATAGTAGTAGTTCTTGTTTTTTTGGCATGTTTTCTCTAAAATTAAAAATTCATAGATTTCCTTTTTTAATTATTAGCTGGAATTCATACCAGAGTTTTGAGAGTTTAATAGTGATGGTAAAGTTTATTTTCTGCTATTCTGTGTTTCTTTACATTTTCCAATCTGTATATATCTAGTATGCAGTAAGAAAATGTTGTAGACTGCTGATTTGTCTTTTTCTACTGGGATCAATTTAGGAAGCCAAATCTTATTTCTAATTTATATTATAATCTTTTATATAGCTTTTAATTTATGTTTTATGTATAAACAACTTTATATATTAATGATTTGCTTACTGTTATTTTAGGGTTCAGCACCAGAGATTGATCCTTCATCTGATGGTTCAAATTTTGGATGGGAGACAAAAATCAAAGCATGGATGGATCGCTATGAAGAGGCAAATAATAACCAGTATAGTGAGGGAGTTCAGAGGGAGGCACAACGAATAGCTATGAGATTAGGCAATGGAAATGACAAAAAAGAAATTAGTAAATCAGATTTGAATACTAATAATATACTCTTCAAACCTCCTGTAGAGGTAAATATAGTTTAAAAATTTTCTTTAAAAAACCCTCTTTTTTATACTTTTTTTGTATATCTTAAACAGCTATACTAAAAGCTATCAGGTTTAACTTACTTCATCATTTACTCTGATTTTAGAGCCATATACAAAAGAATAAGAAAATTCTCAAGTCTGCAAAAGATTTGCCTCCTGATGCACTTATCATTGAATACAGAGGGAAGTTTATGCTGAGGGAACAGTTTGAAGCAAATGGGTATTTCTTTAAGAGGTATATTTTCATTTTTTCTGTAGTGTTCTGTAGTTAAGTACTCATTTTTGGCTATTTTACTAAACTAATATTGCATTTATATGTATTTTCCTCCAAGTGATAATTTCTGTATTAAAAACTGTAGTTGAGCAATGATGATAACTTTTGAACTATAATAAAACATAAAAATCAGTAGGAAAAAAATCAGAAAGTAGCAGACATATTATCAATGTCTTGCCAAAAGATCATCAATATCATGTTTTACTAAAAATCTCAAATCTTCTAAATATTTCTAATAGAAACTAACAGCAATGTAAACAAATTTGAAAAACCCAAGCCCTTTGCTTCTTAAGTTGTTTGTAATTCATGGGATCTCATGTACTATGGAGTAGAATGCTCACTGAGAAGCTTGCCAGGGCTTTCTTTGGCTGTACCAACTGAGTAGGGTAGAACGAACTGCTAACTTTTAGATTAGTAGTGAGGTATAAACCATTTGTACCAGCTGGTGACCTGACACCAATAAAAACCAAACACACTGCTGTGAAGTCAGTTTTGATTTACAACAAGCCTACAGGGCAGTGAAGAACTGTCTTAGAGGGTGTCTGAGGCTAGAGATCTTTTTGGAAGGAGACTGCCTTATTTATCTCCCATGGAATGACTGGTGGGTTCAAACATGTGTGACCTTTTGCTTAGCAGCACAGTGTTTAGCCTACAGTGCTACCAGGGCTCCCATATAGGTAAATATGAACTATATTCTGATTATCTGAGATTATAAGGAACATTCAGGAACCTGTGAGAATTCCGTATCATTTTTAGAACCCCAAAAGGCAATATGGTGAGTGACTAAGGAAAAATTCCCATCTCTTTAGACAGTATTCAGTTTGATCCTACATTATTGCCAGTACTTCTAGCATCTTTCTTCTGGGCATTGTAATAGCATATAATGTATTATCTCTAGAAGTAACATTCCTTGTCTGTGGTCCAATTAGGAAAACTTTTTGTTTATAAATTTAAACATTTTTACTTACAATATTACACAACAAATCTGTTTTATATGCTATATTTGACCTGAAAGGGATACACATCAAAGACTTTAAAATACATTAGTTAATTAGAACCTTTAAAGGTTTCTGATTATGAATCATTGCATAAAGGGAGTAGTCACTTTGTTTATAAATTTGAATGCCCACCTTCAACTATCCTTGATTAAGGTAGGGTATAGAAACAGGCAACTATAAGCAATTATAATAATGGCTAAGAACAGTTTTAGAATCAGATTGCTTTTATCCAAATCTTGGCATCATTATTTATAGTGAGCCTTCTAGAAATGAAACTCTATGTTAAGTTTCCTTATCAGTTTACCTCTGTAGAATAACAAAAGATTGCTATTTTTAAAATGCAATGCGTTTTCTTTCTTTGTAGACCATACCCTTTTGTGTTATTCTATTCTAAGTTCCATGGACTAGAGATGTGTGTTGATGCAAGGACTTTTGGGAATGAGGCTCGGTTCATCAGGCGTTCTTGTACTCCCAATGCAGAGGTAAGTTTATAAAAATCCTTGTAGGGGTTTGGGTAGAGATCTGAATATTAAATGTAAAATCTGATAGCCTAAGACAGTTTTAACTAATACATTTTATGTCACCCAGAATGTTTTTGTTGTAAAACTTTGCGTGATATAAACTGAGGCCTTAAAAATTATTTTGCACATTGAAAAAATTGTGATTTTCTTTGTTAAGAAAAAAAATACTGGATTACTTCCTATTTATCCTAGAAGCTCTATAAATTACAAGAGGGCAAGTGCATGCTAATATTTGATCAAGTTAGAGAACAAAGCTGAACACGAAAGTAGATTCTATGTACTACTATAAATATTTTTTTAGCATAAAAAAGATTTTTTTTTCTGTATGCCAAAATAAGCAATCCTAATCATACAGCAGGGGGAGTTATGTTGGCTTTAGTGGTAAGGAATTGAGCTGCCAACCCAGAGGCATGCAGTTTGAATCCACCAGCTGCTCCACAGGAGAAAGGTGAGCAGTCTTCTCCCTAGTGATTTACTGCCTCTGCAAACCTACTGGAGGGTCAACTGAGAATTGGTTCTAACTTGACAATACATTAATTTTAAGATATGTAACTTTAAGATATATAATTCCAAAGATGTTAAATTTTAGAGAAAGGTGAATCTTTGAATGATGAGATATCATTTTTATTAATGCCATACGGTAGAGTTTGGTATTCAGCAGAGATATTCTGTTTCAAAACTGATTTATCTCCTTTCCAGTTGAAAACTGATTTGTTGTTACAAGTTTATAAGTAATGGCTTATTTTCCAAATTGTTATTTGTAAAATATTTTAATAGTTTAAAAATTCGAGGATGAGTGGCTTCTAAAGTAGGAAAAGGTTTAAGAATAATTTTCTATTTCTATGAATTAACAGGTGAGACATGAAATTGAAGATGGAACTATACATCTATACATTTATTCTACACAAAATATTCCAAAGGGAACTGAAATTACTATTGCTTTTGATTTTGATTATGGGAATTGGTAAGTTCATATCTATAAATATGCTATTTTTTGCTTTTCAAATCTATTTTGTGATAATTTAAACAATACTGTTACCTTTCTTTACCGTGAGAAAGTGAAAAGTACATGAAAATAAACAATTTTTTAATCATCTTGGCATTATGTCATTGTTTAGTTTTTTAACTCCCTCTAATTACTATTGGGGGAGATCTGGTGATATCACCCATAGAAATCTACATTGCTAGCCAAAAGGCCATATAGTTCAAATCCTTCTGTGCTCTCTTGGAGGAAGATGGGCAGTCTTCTCCCATTTGGTTTACAGCCTCTGAAAATTTGCTAGAGTGTTGTGACTCAGAAGCAGGAACTTTCCTGGATTGTTACTGTGATGTAAATGTTCATAGTAACTATAAAGCAGCCTTACTACATTGACTTAGTTTAGGTATGAATTTCAATTTTTCTTTTTATTCTATTTCAGGAGATATCATTTTAGTTATATAGGTAATTTGGCTTATCAGTATAAATTAGTAATATGTATTTTTGCCTGTCAAAAGCAAAAGAACTTGTACCAGATTTTCTTTGCAGCATAACTACAAAGGATTCGTTAGAGATCCTTCATTAAAATGCAGAACTATTTTCAGACTTTAGGAAAAAGAAAAATATCCTGACTCTAGAAATATCAATGTAATTGTATAAAAAGTTAATACCCTAAAGGTATAAATAGCAGTGCAAAAATGATGTATGTATGCCCCAAATCAAGGGGGGGGGGCAAAAAAAGACCCTTTCTGTTTAACATCCAGATTGCATCTTTTATCTTTCTTTTCTCCTTAACAGACATGGTTGTTGTTGTTAGGTGCTGTGAATTGAGTATGACTCATAGCGACCCTATGAACAAAAAAGATCTAAATCCTGTCCTGTCCTGAGCCATCCTCACACTTCCTGACACACAAGAGCCCATTGCAGCAGTCACCGTGTCAGTCCACTTAGTTGAGTCTTTCTCTTCTTCCCCGACCTTCCCAGCATCTTGTCCTTCTCCAAGGAATAGCCCTTCCTAGCATCATGCCCAAAGTATGTGAGGCAAAGCCTCATTGTTCTTGCCAGCTTTAATTTAGGGTGTTTTTTTGAGGTTTCAATAGAAAGTTATGCTACCAAGCCAAAGGTAGGTGATTTTAATCTGTGGCCCTCAGGCCTTGTTTTAATTGTTTTTGGTCAAACATTCTACTAAGTGGTGTAGCACTGGTCTTTCCATTTGCTGTACAGAGGTAACTCGTGGTTGCTATGATGTTAAACACTGTGACACTGATGTGTCAGATGTGATAATGGTTACCCATGGTGGACAGTGTTTGGAGGAGCTTCCCATTTAAAACAAGCTTGGAAGCAGGAATGGCATCCACTTCCAAAATAGCTTGCTTCTGGAAACTGTGAATGTTGAGAAATGATAAAAGTTATACAGGTGTTCAGGTCTTTCATTCATAGGATCACTGTGAGTTGTCTACTACTCGACAGCACTTAACAACAACTCTGCAAAAGATATTTATTTAAATTTAATATTGATTTGTCTACAAAATTTGTATACATTGTGTTCATTCATGTATGTGCGTTGTGTTTCATACATTCCTTCATTCACATTGTTTCATAATATCATAGACCTTGTTTTATAAAATTAATTATCATTGATCTATTACTACTACTACTCAATCTTTTCAGGTTCCCTGTGGATCTCTCCTAATTCTGTCACTCCTCCCCTCTACCACCAAACCATTATCTTAGTGACTTACCTTCCTTCCCCACACTCTGCTCTTTGGCCCCCAACTCCTTCCCCCTTTGAATTTTTATATACATCTTACTAGTTATCCTTCTATTTTTACATTGTCTTATGCAGTATTTGTCCTATGAGACTGACTTAGTTCACTCAGCATAATGCTCTCTAGACTCTTCCATGTTATAGTATTTTACAAAATTGTTGCTCCTTAGTGCTGCATAGTATTCCATTTCTTTAAAAAAAATCACAATCTAATATTTTATGATTTGAAACTTTATTATATAAATTCTTACATATTAATTTACTTTCAGCCTTTCTCCATTAATTTTGTTATATTGAACCATATTATAAGTAACTTTGTATGGTTCATCCCTGGCATAGTATGTTATGTGTTGAACTGCTAACCAAAATGTTGGTGGTTTGAATTTCCTTACTCGGGGGAGAAAGATGAAGAAGTTTCATCTTACAAAGATTTACAGCCTTGGAAACCTGACAAAAAACATGGCAATTCAAAATAGATTCAAGAACACTGGTTTAGATTAACAAAAAATGCTCCTATGACTTTCTGAGCATACCTGCTGTTTACATGTTATTTCCATGTGAATTACCTATGAGTGGAATTGCTGGGCACAATCTCCTGTGCTATTTATAGCCTCTAAAAAGCCCCTGGAAGGTCATCTGACACATAACATTCTTTTTCCTACCCATTTCTCCCTTGCTGCTGTTGTATGCTGTTGAGTTAGAACTCATAGCTGACCTTCCAGCAGGTTTTCAGAGCCAGTAAATTGCACAGTAGGAAACTGCCCATCCTTCTCCTGCAGAGTAGCTGGTGGATTCAAACTGTATATGCTTTTGGTATTGCAGCGTAGCTTCTTACCACTAGGCCATCAGAGCTGCTCTGCAGGAGAAAGATGGTCGCTGCCAATAAGACTTATTGCCTCTGAAAACCCACTGGAGGGTCAGCTCCAACTCAGTGGCACACAACACAACTTACTGACTTTTCTCCCTTACTGTTTGCTGTTAAGTGCCGTCAAGTCATAGACGATTCATAGCAACCCTATGAACTGAAGACCTGAGCACTGTTCTCCCTTGGAAAATACATTAATTGAAGAGACTGTGTAGTGGTTAAGAATAAACTCTTACTGTCTAGTTTCAAGTCCTAGCCCGATCACTTACTAGCTGTGTAAGTTTGGACCAATTTCTTCATTTTTTTGTGTGTGTCATTACTTCATCTGTAATATAAGGAGAGTATATCTAACAAGAATGTTTTGAAGAATCAGAAGTTAACCCATTCAAGACCAAATTATTTTCTGCTTTGAATTTTTTTGTTGAAAAATCTGTTTTCAGTGTCATGGAGTCAGCTCTTACTCGCAGTGCTTTCAGCAGAGGGAATTCTGAATAAAATGGGAATAAAAGATCTGAGTTTTTTGTTTGTTATTGTCATGTATCCAGTAGGAACTAAATCATAGCTCACCCTCCAGCTAGTTTTCAGAGGCTGTAAATTGCATGGGAGGAGATTGCTAATCTTTATTCTGCTGAGCAGTTGGTGAACTTGAACCACATGCTTTGGGTTGACAGTGCAATTCCTTACCACTGAGACATGTTGTAAGAGGTTTCTGGTGCTGGAATTAGCAGTACGAGATGTATTTCTTTAGATTCATGCAGTTAAGTTGGCCCCAGCAGAAGGTAACATGCTAAAAGTAGGATAAGTATTTCCCATTAAACCCCTATAGGGAGAACATATGGGTCTCATGTTACAAAAGGGTTAATACAAAATAAAGTGTTGGAAATAAACAGGGGCACAGGCTCATTGGTGTCAAGTTGGGTTCAGTTCAAAGCTAACCTTCCAGTAGGTTTTCAGAGGCTGTAAATTGCTCAGGAGGATATGGCTCATCTTTCTGCCTGAAACAATCTGTAGGATTCGAGCCACCTGCCTTTGGGTTGGCAGTGTAACTCCTCAGCCACAAGGCCATCAGAGCTGCATTGTGGCAGAAAGTCAGTGCTTACTAAAAATTAGCTGTTACCATTTTTATTGTATTTATTATCCTAAAATGAAGGTACATACCTAATAGAGTTTCTCTCAAGACCTGATTTTGAGGGAAGGACAATAAATATTTTAATTCTAGCCAGTACACAGAATTAAACAATCTGATGTATACCTTCCTATCAGCATTGAAAGTAAATAAGTAGGAATATTAGAAAACTGGAAAATTAAATTACTTTTATCATAACAAAATTGGAGACTTCTGTTAATGCAAAGAATCCTGACAATGTTAGACTGCTTGATGTATTAGACTGGTAACAGAAAAGTCCATTGGATCCATTGGCTTGGATCTATCAGCTGCTTGATTATAGGAGGAACGACAGGCATTCTCTTCCAGTTATGATTTACAGCCTCAGAAACCTGATGGAGGGTCACTAAGTTGGAATTAATTCAATTCAAATTCAGTTTTTATGAACTCAGATTTAGGCATTTAGCATGCATCCTAAATAAAGATAAGCTAAATCTTGACAGTACCATAAAGAGGGCAGTGTGGAGAACTATTGAAGAGATGAAGAATGTGGGGATTTTGGCATTAAATATACTTGTATCTGAATTTCATCTCTGCTGCTTATTACCTATGACTGTGGACAAGATACTGACCCTCTCTAACCTTTTAGCTCATCTGTAAATATAAATAATTATCATTACTTTGCAAGTCATCATGCAATTTTTTTTCAATCTTTCATTGAAAAGGACTTAAATGAAACATTTAATAAGGGGAAAATGAATAACTTTAAAATTATAAGAAGTCTTTCCAAAGAAATCTAACAATTCAAAGAATTCCTTACAAGACAAAACTAATTAAAGTTTATATTTATCCTACCTAACAGGGTTGCTGTGAATAAAATCACTTCAATAGCAGTGGTTTTATTATTTTTTATTTAAGTCCAATTTCAAACCACTGAAATAATTATGCTTTTTGCTTTAGTGTTCTTTTGTGTCAGGTACAATATCATATTACCTTAAAATAAAAGCAAAAAATAAAAAGCAAACCTTTTACTGTTTTTTATTCTGTGGCCCAAGACTCCACCTCTGATCAGAAACTTCCATTACGACTCATAGCGACCCTGTGAACAACAGATTTGAACTCTGTCCTATCCCGTGTCTTCTTCACACTTCCTAACACACTAGAGCCCATTGCGGCAGCCCCTATGTCAGTCCACCTGGTCGAGGGTCTTCCTCTCCTTCGGCAACCTTGCCACCCTTCCAAGCATCATATCTCTAGCCCCTTGTTTTATGAGAAAATAAAATTTCATTTGTGATAATAACTAGAAATGTAAACTAGTAAAAAGTAAGAATTTCTAAAAATACAATTTTATGGAATTAGAGCTTAAATGTGTTAGAAAATTGTGTAGGTTTGTTTTATATCTTGGGTAAATAATTTATTGTCTTTCTAGTAAGTACAAAGTGGATTGCGCATGCCTCAAAGAAAATCCAGAGTGCCCTGTTCTAAAACGTAGTTCTGAATCCACGGAGAACATCAATAGTGGTTATGAGACCAGAAGGAAAAAAGGAAAAAAAGACAAGGATATTTCAAAAGAAAAAGATACACAAAATCAGAATATTACTTTGGATTGTGAAGGAACAGCTAACAAAATGAGGAGTCCGGAAACTAAACAGAGAAAGCTCTCTCCACTGAGACTTTCAGTGTCAAACAATCAGGTACTGAGCCATGCTCTAGGAATTTTAGATGACAGAAAACTAATTGAATAGGGGAAAGCAATTTATTATTTTTTTAACCTTTTTTATTCTATATAAAATTGCTTATTAAGAATATTTTTCAGTCAATTATATTTTATGGTGGACGGAAGTGATTATGTGATTATAAGACTTTTTTAAAAGCTTGGGTGCTTTTTAAAAAACTTCCAAATGGCCATTCATTTATGCTTACAATAAATGTTCTTAATAAAATCGTAAATCATAAAATTGTCTTCCACTTATCAGTTTTATAAAGATACTACAGAACAGTAAGATTTTTGAGGGAAATGTCAGCAAGAACATGCAATTTTTGGTATATGACCCTAAGGAGAAATTAGAAAGGGTCATTGCAATGTAAAAATATAAAGCAGGGTCTTAGTAATTTCCTTTATACTATCTTTGCTAAGAATGTAAGCTTTTTATTGAACAAATATTTAATGAGGACTGGCTACTTGTAGGCACTGATAAGCTCTTTACTGATAGGAACTCTTTTTTATTAGAAAATATATTTTTAAAAAATATTTGATTTTGAAATGCTTTTGGGCTAGGAGACCAGTTCTAAACATCTTAAAAATACAAGGTAGAGCTTGTAATTTTAAATTGTTCAATTAGTTGTGGTTGAAAGACATTTTATTTATTGATGAAATATCATTTCTATAAATCAGTTATTTCTGTCCTTCAGGAACCTGATTTTATTGATGATATAGAAGAAAAGACTCCTATTAGCAATGAAGTAGAAATGGAGTCAGAGGAACAAATTGCAGAAAGGAAAAGGAAGATGGTAAGTAGGGAAGTCAGTAGATGCTTAATGCACTACAGCTGCTTTTCCCACAGTAACTGTTAAAATCATTGCATGGACTTTTTATTGCTCCTTATTTGAATGTAGAAAATCTGAATCTTTGGTATACCGTTGAGCATTCAAATTTGCTTTATCATTAACACTCATCTTTTATATTTTTCTGTGTTAGACATTTAGAATATATGACATACAACTAATAATCTTTTAAACATTTTTAAGCTTAAGACTATTAATAAACATTAATACCACATTACTGTTTAAAATGTCTTTCATTAGCAATATGGTCTCTCTCTGATTTAAGAAATAAAGAATTGAACTTTAGAGTTCATATAGTAGCACCAAATAAATGGCATATGCAAAAAACCCAAACAGAACCTCTACTGTTTGATAGCTACATATTTCTGTGTTCTCATACTATCCTAAAATAGTTCTGTGACTATCCTAAAATAAGGCTTTTATTCAAATAAAAGTTCGGGACCTATCTTTCTTGTGCTATTTATTGACAATGTCTACATAAAGTTTTTTCACAAACCAGTTGTAATACAATGTTAAGAAAATATTATAGCTAACAAATTACTGTATTATTGTTGTTTGTGTACCGTTCAGTCAGAACCAATCCATAGCTGACCCTCCCACGGGTTTTCAGAGGCAGTAGATCGCAGAGGAGGACAATGCCTGTCTTTCTGCCCCCGGAGCAGCTGCTGATTCAAAACGTGTGCCTTCAGGAAAGCAGCACAGCTGCTCACTACTAGGCCACCAGAACTTCCCTATTACCATACTGAGTGCCCGAAAATTTGGAAATGAATCCGCATAAGCAAACTAATAATCTTACATTTTTTTGGTCCATGTTTTAGTGGTTTTCTTATTAAGAGTATTTTTGGTCCATGTTTTAGTGGTTTTCTTATTAAGAGTATGGAATTCCCAACTCACATATTTAAGGATTTTGGAAACGGTCATTTTAGGCCTATATGTATTATCTTATTACCTTCATAGGCACCCTTTCAAATACTGATTCATTACTGCTGTTCACAATTGTGAAAGCAATGCAGAACTGTTTCACAGGCTCACAATTTCAGAAACCATGTTCTTTTAGGACAGGGTTGGGTTAAGAGACAGGTGATAACTCGCAAATTAAGGAGAAAATACTGGAGGAGGAAGTTGGTTATTAAGGAGAAAGGAGCACTTGTACCTAAAGCAAATATGTGAATCTTTTACAAGTCATTTAATTACCTGTAACTATCTAAACTGTAGGAGCTCTTCAATGAGGATAGTTTCAGTAGTATTGGTCTGCTCTTTGCATAGCTGCAGTCTTGAATTCATATTAATCCTGTAGAAACTTGGGAAACAAGCACATCATTGGCAACTCTGAGGTATGTGTCTGGTAGGAGGAACTTTTACAGCTGGTTTGTAAGAGCCATTTGAAGAAAGGCATGAAATGAAGACCCACAAAATATTTCATACAGATTGATTTTTTTGAAAGTTGATAAGCATATGGAGTTACTTCAACAACACACCCCTCATCAGTGCTTAACTTCTTAATGGAACTTAGGACTTTTTCCATTCCCAGTTCTCAGAAGAAAATGGGTGCCTCTTCTAAGTTGATGATAAACTTGGTGGCACTTAAAAAAAACAGGTGTGGCTTACTTGGTGGCTTTTTGGGCCTTGTTAATTTTATCTATACATTTGCAATGTTAATATTCTTAAGAATATTTCAAGGTTTTTCTATCCCTCTTTGCGAGTATCAACTGCCGCTAATGTGGCTTTAATAGTCCATGTTTTTAATGGAACTAAAATATGGAAAACTTGAAGAGTGTGTTTATAACTTGTCTGGTATTGTCAATAGATGTGAAATAAAAATGTTTCAAATCTTTCTTTGGTTCCCTGAACAATTAGTAATTTTCCCCCCTTCCTAAAGTTAGTAGTTGAGAGCCCAAATACTTCATTTTGAAAACTTTAAATATGAATCACTGTCCAGTTGGTTTTTGTTGTTAGCAGAATAGTCCTTGGAAAGATGATATCAAATCCCAAACAAAACTGGACAAAGTAAAAAATAGTAGAATATTATGCCAAAGAAGATTTTGTTAAGCTGATTTAAATTTATCCTGTGGTAGAACAGACTTTTAAACATTTTTTGGCGTAATAGAAGCTACTAGCCATAATGTGTATTGGCCAGACTATCATAGGACTCAGGCATACCTTCTTGCCAGATAAATTCCCATTAACTCCACTGAAAAATACAACACAGAACCTAATTTTAAATATATATTTAATCCATTTTTTGTTAGAGAGCATGGAACTACAGGAAATTGCTGGTATTCTGAGTATTTTTACCTACAAAAATGCCAATTTAATGCACAGTATGTCTCTGAAAACTGCATCAGTGGATAGGTGTATTTTGGTTGCTGGCTTTGCGTCATTTAGTGGGAATGGAAGAAAGATGTCTCTACCTATAAGGGCACTGGAGAAAAATTACATTGTAGCAAGAAGTTATTAGGTGCAGTCAAGTGGCCTATGACTTAAAAGTGACCCTATGAAGACTATCTGAACCTTGCCCTATCCTGCACCATCCTCTTCATTTCTAATATGCTAAGTCCCTGTGTCAGTCCATCTTGTTGGGAGTAATCTTCTTTCTCTGACTCTTAAAATTTCCTAAGATTTGGCGCCCCTGACAAACCTGTCTATGTATAATTGTTTCACCATCTTTGAATCTTAAGTAGCAAGAAATGGTAACCAAAAGAGTAGATTTCCTAGTCTGACAGAGACTGGCAGAACTCTAGTACAGCCATTACATCCCCTGAAGCCTGGAACTGAAACAAGTGTTGGAGATCACCTTTCAGCCAATCAATAGACGTATAAATTGAGCAGTGTACACCCATCAGGAATGTGCTCTTCAGAACTTGGAGCATTATTTTCCTAAAAACAAAGTTCAGAAAGCGGGTGGGGGAGGGATGTGGGGGGGGGGAGAAGATGGCCAAACAGAAATGGGGAACCTAGGTAGGAAGTGGGAAGAGTGCTGTTACATGTGTGCTTTATATGAGGGGACTGCAACTCATGTCACAAACATGTATAAATTGTTGAAGAAATTAAGTTGCCACCCAAACCATAATATTTAAAAAAAAATAAACATTATAACCAAAACCATCGAACTGATGACCCTGTAGGCCAGAGTCAAACTGCCCCCATAATTTCCAAGGCAATACTCTTTCTGGAAGCACAGTGTCAGGTTTTTGTCCATTAACCGCTGTCCAACTGGGACACCTAGAAGCGTTAAAGCAGACTGAGTGGTGGTGGTTACAGGCTATCAAGTTGGAATCAACTCAGAGCTGATCCTTCAGTGGGCTAACAGAGGCAGTAAAGCAGATTGCCAGTCCTCCCGCTGAGCAGCTGGTGGATTTGAACTGTTGTGCCTTTGGAATTGCAGCTCAACTGCTTACTGCTAGGCAACCAGAGTTCCCTAAACAAGTGACAGATCACTTAATGCTGATCAGAGATTATTTTATGAACTTTTTTTGTTGATGACTCATACTAGCCTATGAAAAACATCTAAATCTTCTGCCAGTCTGTGCCATCTTCAGTCTCCATCATGTTCATACCTATTATTACAGTCACCGTGTCAGTCTCATCTGTTTTGCTGCCCCTCTACTTTTTACATGATACTCTTTTTTCTAACAACTGGCCTCATGACAAAATGTCCAAAATATGTGAGACTTTTTCACTATCCTTGCTTCTAAGGTTGCACTAAGAGGCTTATTTATTTGTTCTTTTGACCATTTACAATATAGTCAATACTCTCCGAAAGCATAATTCAAAGGTAGCCATTTCTTGGTCTTCCCAATTCATTGTCCCAAATTTCAGGTGCATGCAAAGGAACTGAAAATACCATGGCTTGGTCAGGTATACCGTGTCTTTTTTTTAAAACTACATAATATTTAGGAAGCTTTGGTGGCCTAATAATAAAATGGAGCTGTGCTGCCAACCCAAAGGCATATGATTTGAATCCAGCAGCTGCTTTGTGGGAGAAAGATGGACCTATCCACCTTTGCAATGTACTGCCTCTGAAAACCTCCTAGAATAAGATACAGTGTATATGAATGATTGTAAGCAAACCAGTTTAAAAAAGTACACAGACCAAAACCTGGAGGGTCAACTGTGACTCAACAGCACATGACAGCACCATATAGTATTTCTGAATAGGGTTTTAGCAAATACAGATCATGTGCATATGGAAGTAAACTGATGGCTACACTGTATTTAGAACAGCTGCTTATATTTCCAGGGAAAATGGGCTAGAAAAAAGTGATTAGTGCTTTTTGGTTATGATTATAATTGCATGTGTAAGGTTGGTTACAGAGCACAAGTGATGATTTCTTGGGGGAAAATGTTACACTAATTGTGTTCCTTTGGTCTCTTGCATTTATTTTCTCATCCTTGTGTTTTTTTATTACCCATGTTGCCCTCTGTCCTGATGCATATTTGTGGCTAAAGTACATGAGACTGTAAATCATTGGTTACTGAACATTTCCAATTTAGCTAACAGGTAGTATTTTGGCGGTAGGTTAAATTTAGGGTTAGGGGACTCCAACTCAGAAGCTATGAGATTGCAAATGCAATACACTATGTATATTCACCCCAACTCCAAACCAGGGCACCACATACCCACTAGGTACATAGAGGTCAGTGCAGGATTTAGTTGGTTATACCCTTACCAGACATTGTGTGTGTGTGTACACTTTTGAAAGATTGTAATAAAACATGAGTTTTTTTCCCCCTTGTCATCCTTACATTTAATTAAAACAAAACCCCTCCCAAAAAGATTTTAGAATGGGTTTTCAAACAAAAGAATTTTCTGTAACCTCCTTAATAGTGCTAAGTGTCTGGTAAATACAGTCTTAGTAATATTTGATGACTTCTTATTATATGGTCAGATTAACAGGTGGTCTGTGGTGGTGGTTTAGTAGGTCTTCACATTCTATAGAGAAACATTAAAGAGGGTATTAAGTAGTAGTTATCTAAATAGGTAGGGTCATTATGAGTCGTGCTCAACTCAGCAGCACCTAACCACTACCATCACCTAAATAGAAGACCGAGGGATTTGTTAAGCAGGCCAGTTTATAACATAAGTGTGTGTGTACACACACACACGCAACTAATCTCAACTAGAATATAAACTCCACAGGACAAGAATTTATAGTTTTATTATTGCCGTAGTCTTTTTTCCCTTTGGTGAGTGGGAGGAGAGAATGCTTGGCTTTTAAAAAAAGTAGATGCGCAACAAATGAGCCACCTAAATACTCATGCAACTATCTGAAAAAAGAGAACACCCTTAAGTGTGAGCTAAATAAAGCCTCCTCTGGCCTGGGAAAGGAACTCTAGTGGTACACTGGTTCAGTTAGTTGCTAATTGAAAGGCTTGCAGATCACACAGAACAGCAGCTCTTCTGTTCCTTTAGAAATCAGTTTCGTTTAGAAGTGCATTTCTTGAACTATGTTAAATAATTTTTGCTACCCTAGTGAGCAACAGAACACAAGCTTTCAGAAGATCCATCTGCAAAGAATACTGACTATCCAACTGAACACACTAAAAGAGGATTATGTATGGAAGGGGAAAAAGTAGGAATAGTACAAAACCATGCATACTACATTGAAGTGATTATTGGCAATTTGTGATCTTACCAATTATTCAAAGATTCAGAAGTTAACCTCTAATAGAAAAAAATAATTGTAATACTTAATGCATGAGAAACCTTTCTTTTAGTTTCTCTACTATTTTAAGGCTTTGAACTAGGCTAATTTAGCAGGAGAACTCTGGCATTTTACTCTTTTAGGCAAGACACCCCCCCCCCCCCCATAAAAATGACAGCTTAGGTTGTGGCAAGGTAGAATAGTAGTAAATCAGGAGACCCAGGTGCCTTCATTCCTGTTTCTTTCTCTATTCCTAAATGCAAAATTCCCTCTACAAATTAGTATGGAATCTAAACTTCATAAACTTTTAGTTTCAAGTTAACCAGTTATTTCTCTAATTGGGATGAATTTGAACAATTTACTCAGTGAATAAGTTTTCCACTTGCACTGTTGTATAAATATACATGTATATAGTATAAAGGGAGTTTATAAATCCTATTGAACCTAAGTGGAAACATCAATTCTTGTTCTCTTATGATATAACCCTTGACCTAGAAGAACTTTAGTTTTCTACATTTGAGCAGGGAGCTTAGACAAAATCGCTCTAACTTCTTCCAACTGTTAAAATATTTCAAGCTGAATTTTTGTTGCAGTATGTTTCTACTTTGAAGCAAATAGCTGGAATAAAAATTCTCAAAGTAATCACTTCTCAAATGATAAAAATATCATTTGCTGATATACAAAATCATTGTTGATTGCCTACGAACCTTATGAACAAAAAGACCTGAAGTCTAACACTCAGTACTTGCTGTTGTAATGCCATAAACTGATTATATGTAGACACACACATGCTACCTACAGATTTTCAGAGGCTACACATCATATGAGAGGTGATTGCCCATCTTTCTCCCATAGAGCAGCTGGTAGATTCAAACTGCCTGGTTTTGGATTTGCAGCACAATTCATTATCCGCTTGACCATAAAGGCTCCTCTATGAGGTATAAGGGCCCATGAAAAAAACTGTTGTTTTAAAAAGGACTCATTTCTCTAACCACCTTCATTCAGCTGCACCTCTTAAGATACAGGCATGTGTGTATCTATGTTTATCTATAACATGTATTTAACAGCTATTTTTCAGTTAGATCTATAAATGAGTGGAAAATTTTCAGTCATTATTAGGTCTGACAGAATGTATGAGATGCAACAGTGACTAGAACACTGAATGACGTCAATCTTAAAGGCGTTTAAATTAGATGAATATCCTAATGGAATTTCTTTTTTTGGGGGGGGTCAAAGCTATGTTCAGAGTGTACAAAGATAAAGCTAAGTTAAAACTTAAGAAATTGGCTTTATACTTTCAGCCTTATTCTTAACTCAGTTAACAATTGTACATTATTAGAAGAGTCAACTTGGTGCAAGAAAATGTGGCTAAAAATTGGTCAGGTTCTGAGTCAGTAGTTGCTTTATTAGCATTGTCGTTAGCTGCCATCAACTGCCATCTGACTCACAGGCACCCATGTACAAGAGTAAAGCAACCCTCAGTCCTGTCCCATCCTCCCATCAGTTCTGAGTCATTTTACCCATCTGCCTTGCTGGGGGTCTTCCCCTTTTTTGTTGACCAAGCATGATGTCCTACGACCAGGACTATCCCTCCTGAAGACACATCTAGAGGGTGTCTCCTAAGTCTCCCCATCCTGACTGAACTTCTAATACACATTAAAATGGAATGGGTTTAGTTTGAAAGTTCCTGAGCAGCTCTTAAAAAAAAAAAAATCTAAATCATCTCTAAGGCTTTGCCTTAATTGCCAATTAGCTTTATTATTTACAAGGGAATTCCAATTTTTAATGGAATGATTTTGAGTCTTATTCTGATCTCCCCTCTCAATAGCAATAACAACTGGATATTGAACTATGTTAAGTAATTTTTGCCTAAGTTCACATTTATCTTACAAAACTCATTAGTTATGATATAGAAATATTATCCTAGATGCCTTATTTGTAGGTGACTTTTTCTGATCTCTCCTTTGAGATACATTTTCTACCTCTTGAACAATTTACTTTTTTCACATTTTTTTCTTGGAGTGGCAGCTACTCCCAAAACTGGTTCATCAGGTAAAGCAATTACTAAAATTACCATTTTAGTTACTCTTGATTCCTAAATTTAGGAGTTTAGACACAGAATCAGTGACACAAAAGGTTAAAGACTCTGCCATTAATAAAGTCAGGTGGTTCCAAAGGCTCCTCAGAACAAAGGCCTAGTCATTGAGTTCCAAAAGGTGACAGCCATTGAGGTGTATGGAAACCAGCTCCAGGGGCATCAGCTTAACAACCAGGTTATGGATTGAAGTTGTTTTCTTTATTATTTTGTGTCAAATTGGATCTGACTGGTACAGGAAGAGATTGCCCCTCCTTCTCCGGCAGAGCATCTGGTGGCTTCAAACCGCCTATCTGTGGGATTGCAGTGCAGCTTCTTGCCAGTAGGCCACCAGAGCTCCCCTTGAGTTCTGTTTTTAAGGAACAGGAATTTACAAAGCATAGGTATAAAGAAAAGATCATTAGAAGATTAGAGAGACTTGAGACAGAATTAGCTATTCAAGCTTTAAAATGTCACATTTGCAGTAAACAAGACCATCAATCAGACATTATTTTAGTGTCTGATTACCCATCTCAGACTAGAAAAGTGAAGATGCAGATGTTTATTCATGAACAAGTAATCTTACCTCTTCGAACCTGGGTGAGGATGACACATTTTGGTTTTTTAAAGAATAGTACAATTGTAGTATGGAAATTTTCTTTAACAAATTAAACCGTAGATATATTCTCAGAATTATTTTGTTGGCATATTGCTTTGCTCCCTTACTATGTGTAACAACAACAACAACAAATATAGGAAAAGATTAACAAGTGGTTTCCAGTCTGGAGGTATCTTGATGCTTGACTCTGGTGATAATTACTGGAACTAAAAGCACCAATGTTAACAAGACCATGGCAGCCAGACCTTGAGTTTCTGATCTTTCTTTCTTTCTTCCCCACATCGATGTCAATAAAGGAGGAAAGACAAATGGATCTGAGCCTCAGGACCTGGTTCTTTTCATTTGGAGAACTGGATGGACGTGCTTCCTGTATCTGATTGAGAGCTGAAGCATTTGCCAGGCCCACTGGTCAAGGCTCTGGGTCTTGCTTTAATGTTCTCCATCCAAGGAGAACTGATGCTCAAAGGAACCCTTGATGTTCCTCTGTCCCTGCCTTGTCAGTATAAGACAGGAAGAGCAGAAGGTAGAGGAATGCCTTATAAGAATTACAATGGAGGGCAAATGGGCTAACGTGGACATAATAATTAACAATTATGAAATGCCTATCATGTTCCCAAATATTGTTTGAAAACGCCACAATTTTGTGAAGTCTATGTCTAAGTAGTCCCAGAAAGGTTAATTTGTCTAGTTTTACAGAGAGAATAAATTACAAGTCATGCTTTGAGCCCCACTATATGTGCTGTTACATCATCTCAAGAACACATTCACTCCTTAAATGTGTATGATTTTTAGCTTTTCAACATTTTGCCTTTATTTTGAATATATTTTAAAAGACCAGCTTCTGTATTATTAATAAAGACAATTTTTTTTTCTGTTTGGTAAAACACAAGGTGGCTTTTGAGAAAGTCATCAAGTATTTCTTTCATGAAATGTGAAAGAAAGGCTAAAGTTTCAGATTTTAAAAACTCAATGTTTTTCCTTATCTACCAGTAACAGAAGTATTGTTAATGGTGTTATAATAAATTTTAATTTGCCATGAACATTTGTATTTTTTTTTACTTCAGCCATATTTATTATGTCACTTGTAATTTAAATTTTCCAGACAAGAGAAGAAAGGAAGATGGAAGCAATTCTGCAAGCTTTTGCTAGACTTGAAAAAAGGGAGAAAAGAAGAGAACAAGCGTTGGAAAGAATAAGCACAGCCAAAACTGAAGTTAAAACTGAATGTAAAGATGCACCAGTGGTCAGTGATGCAGAGGTGATTCAGGTATTACTATTCAGGTGTATCTCCATTTGGGTACCTTCCAGGACAGTTTATACACAGAAAGGACTCCCACAGTTTTGCTGGCATACTGCTTTCTTTCTTTACTATGTTTAACAAAATTATTTCTTTATGTTTACAGTAAACTTTTCATGTCATAATGTCATATATTATCTTTCAATTAACAGCATTTTTCAAATCCTATGAGGATTTAGAGATAGAAAATATTTTTAACAGTAATATAATTTTTAATTTAATGAGTTTTATTATACTAGCATTTAAAACAAAATTTAGGTAATTTCTGAAGTTAATTCATTGCCATTAAGTAGAACGAACTCATAGGTGACCCTCCAATAGGTTTTTGAGGCTATTAAGTTACACTGGAGGAGAGTACCTAAGCTATCTTCTGCAGAGAGGCCTGACTTTTGGGTTAGCGGTTCAACTCCCTATATACCAGGGCAATCAGAGCTCCACCTCAATTTCTACTCTCTTGTATTTTGAATTAGGAGCAAGCAAAAGAAGAAACTGCTAGCAAGCCAACTCCTGCCAAAGTGAACAGAACTAAACAGAGAAAAAGTTTTTCTCGGAGTAGGACTCACATTGGACAACAGCGCCGGAGGCACAGAACTGTTAGCATGTGTTCAGACATCCAGCCATCGTCTCCTGATATAGAAGTTTCTTCACAACAAAATGACATTGAAAATGCTGTACTTGCAGCAGAGCCTGAGGCAGAAACTCCACTAGCAGAGATAATTACCGAAACTGAAGTTCCAGCACTTAATAAATGTCCTACAAAGTACCCCAAAACAAAGAAGGTATGATTGTTACTGAATGTAGTAATTCCATTTTCAAGCAAGTGTCTCATATCCATTGATTAAAAAATTTTATTTTGTAATAGACTTGCAGGAGACAAAACTTTTATGCTAAGAATGAGACCAACCTGCTGTCTAAAAAAGCTGACTAAAAGCATTTCTCTCTCTTTCTCACACACACAAAGGCATACACAGAGAGACATATTGTAAGATTCTGTCTCTATTATATACTCTTTAGTATTAGAATTCATCATTCTTGAAGTAATTTTGCCTTACATATAAAATGTATGCTTTTCTGAAACAACTGGTTATAGAGGTGTTCTTTTTCATTATTAATAAATTCTATTGTATAGGTCGATTACAAGAATTAAATGTGAAGAAATTGTTATTTCAACAAAATATGACATGTCGAATTTTTTTTCCATTCTGAAGCAGAATATGGCAATTTTGGTACCAAAACTACCAAAGTAGTCATTCTTGGAGTATATAAGGAGAGAGCTGGATTAAAAACCTTCTTCTTACACACTTCTGTAATAAAATATTTTGAAATGTCCTTTATTTTTTCACAAAATTTTGTAGGAAGGTTGCAGAACATGAGAAGTAACTTTAATGGCAGATGTTATATAACTTAGCTCCTCGAGAGTTTAGGGTTACTCTGAGCTAGTATCTAAACACACCATGCTCTTTACTGTACCACACAGTTTGAGCTAACAAGCCAACACTTTAACACGCAGCTGTTTTTTGCCTACCTTGGAAGGCAACAAGTCAGTCCAACCTTTGTAATTGGATCCGTGAAAAGAAAAAACACAAACTCTTAACAGCTACTTCTAGGGAGCTCTGGTGGCCTAGTGGCAAGAAGCGGCACTACAATCGCAGAGGTACACAGTTCAAATCCACCAGAAACTCTGCTGCACACACAAAATAACCACACACCCCCCCAAAAAAAACCCAGCTACTTCTGCAATTGTAAATGCCAATAGCATGACCCCTGAATGACAATTATTATGGAACTAAAAATATGCATTGCCAATGAGCCAGAATAGACTCATAGCTGACTTTCCAATGGGTTTTTAGAACCTGTAAATCAATCACACAGAAGATTATTCATCTTTCTGTGGAGCCCATGGTTAATTAATTCGAATCACCAGAGAGGTTACATTTTTGGGACTAAAATTTATTTAAATTCTTGGTCTGATGTGGGCTCCTGTTCTGAGAAAGTGATCTACCATCTATATATCTGAAATGAATCTCTGAAAAAGTCTCTTGGCCAAAGGTTCTGCATATGATAGCATTCAGAGTAAAAAAACAAAACAAAAAAACCCAACAATAAAAAACCTAAAACCCCTACCAACTCATTGCTGTCAAGTCAGAACTGACTCATAGTTGACCCTCAAGCAAATATTTTTCTTCCCCCAGCAAATTTTTTGAGGCTATAAATCACATAGTAGTGGTTGTCCAGCTTCTCCTGCAGAGCAACAGGGGAACCATATTATCATCACTGCCCCTAAAATAAAGGTCCGTTCACTGTAATAATACATAGCACTTACATTCTCTGCCAGATAAAACTGAACTCTATATACATTCAGTGTATCAAAGAAACAAGACTAAGAATTAGGTTCCAGCGATTCATTTTAGCAAATATGGATATTGACTTGGTGATGTTGTGTGCAGGTTTTAAGAGGCTGTAAATCACACAGGAGATTGCCCATCTTTCTCCTGTGGAACAGCTGGTGGATTTGAACCATATGCCTTTGGGTTGGGAGGGCAACTCCTTACCACTAAGCCACCAGAGTTCCTTATTGAGGTAGTGGTGTTATGTGCCACTGAGTCAGAACTGACCTACAGCTCACCTTCCAGTGAGTTTTCAGTTTTAATCGTATGAGATGATTAATTATCTTTCTCCCAGGGAACAGCTGATGGTTTACTGGCAGCATACCTTTGGGATGGCAGCTCAATTCCTCACCTCTAGGCCTTCAGAGCTCCCTACTGAGGTGTAGAATTTTCGTAATTTGCTCAAAGTCCTACTCAGGCAGTCTGTCTTCAGACTCCATTGTGCCCCTGTGTTTCCCTACTACCTTATATTGCTTATCATTAGAAAGGTGCTTTTGTACACATACGGGAAAAAGGCTAGACAGAAGACATGGGTAGAGGCTACTTTTTTTAAAGGGTCTGTCTTTGTATTTGTGGACACAACATAAGACTATATTTCTCCTATTACATATAAATGTAATAATAAAATTATATAAATAAAAGTTATTATTATAATAAAATGAAAAGGAAACATCTGATTTCTAGATATGAAAACGTAATGCCCAAATTTAGAGTGTGGTAGGGTAAAAATCTTGTGCTGATTTATGCAATCCTTATTTCTATTCCCATTACAATTGAACTTTACTAAATACCTATTTATTTATGGTAAAAAACCTCCAAACCCCAACAAAACAAAAACCTCTTTTAAAAAGAGCAACCATTAACCTTGAAGATAGCCAGTAAACATGTAATTGTGTATTGTCAAAACTGTGGCTGAGTCAGAACCAACTCACAGCTGACCCTCCAGTGGGATTTCAGAGTTTATCAAAGAGTCAGAATAAAACAATTAGGTGAATGCTGAGACATTCAAAGCAATGTTATTCAATTATTAATTCACAATGCTTAGAGCTTTCTTTAAAAAGTATGTGTACAGGCCTTTCCACCTGGAGATCTCTGCTGTGTAGCCAACACTTAAAAGCACTGCTTAAAATTACAGAATTTAATTGTATACAACTTAGCATTTGCATTTTATTGTCACTGAAGTGTCCTTGTATTTTACTAAAAGGCACCTATAGATGTAATCATGTTGTTTTGTTCCTACAAAATATTTCAGGTGGGATGATCAAGGAATTGTCATTTATTCTGATTATGTAGTCATCATAGATAAATTATTTAAACTACTCAATAAACCAAAAATCCACGGCTGTCGAGTCAATTTCAACTCACGGTAACCCTCCATGCTGTCAATCTTAATAGAAGACCACCTCATCTTTCTCCTATAGAGAGGCTGGTTGGTGCTGATCTTTCAATTAGCAGTCCAACATTTTATCTACAGTTCCACCAAAATTGCTTAAATTGTTCATTATATAACTTAAAAATACCAGATTCAAATTTACTGGAATAAAATGTTAGGTCCAGAGAGGGGGACAAAAGGGGAGAATGAATTCAAATGTTGATAAGAGCAAATGGCCCTGCTTGCCTAGCAGAACTAACGGATGAACCATAAATCACAATGGAATGTCTGTCCCTAAAGACTGTTATAAAAACCCTCCCCCGTAAGTTCACAGTATGACTTCCCCATTCTGCATCTTCAGAATGAGGAAACTCACTCGGGGGCTCCCCTATTCCCCACCTTTAATGTAGCTGTGTTAAGCTTTCTCTAATTCTTTGGAATTCTTTCATTAAGTCTGCTAACTTAATATAAACTCTATATGAAGCGCTAAATAATAATAATAACCCAAACTTTTCTTTCTTCTAGCACTTGGTCAATGAATGGTTAAGTGAGAAGAATGAGAAGACAGGAAAACCTTCAGATGGCCTTTCAGAAAGGCCTCTCCGAATAACTACAGATCCTGAAGTGTTGGCTACACAGCTCAATTCCTTACCAGGCCTCACTTACAGTCCTCATGTTTACTCTACTCCTAAGCATTATATTCGATTTACTTCACCATTCCTTTCAGAAAAAAGGAGAAGAAAAGAACCAACAGAAACCACTTCTGGCTCATGCAAGAAGGTAACAGGAATATTAAAAAACCAACCAATCTCATACCTTTCTATCATTCCTAGTGAAAATGCGTTTGAAATCTGTGCTATAGAAACGTGTTAAAATGAAGTTTATATATTTCAGCGATGGTTGAAACAAGCACTGGAAGAAGAAAATTCTACAATTTTACATAGATTTCATTCACCCTGTCAAGAACGTTCTAGAAGTCCTGCAGTCAATGGTGAAAGTAAAAGTCCACTACTATTAAATGACAGCTGGTCCTTTCCAGGTAGAATATCTTTTTTCATTATTTAGTAAATTGAAAGAACCCTAATCGGTGTAGTCTCATTATTCCTGTATTATTTCAGTACATTGTCATGGGAACTTTACAGAAACCTTACTTATTTTTATTTTTTTTAGAAACCTTAATTTGTACTGCCATGTTCACTGGGGTTTAAGGCTGGATTTTTGGCCCATTTTAATTTTTTTTCCATTTTGTAGTATATTATAAATTGTAGCAAATACTAAGAGTAATTTCTTTTAATAACTTTCACTAACAGATTTAACCACACCACTAAAAAAACGAAGACTTTATCAACTACCAGATTCCGCTTACTCGGAGACCTCTACACCTACTCCATCACCGTATGCTACACCAACTCACCCAGACATTACTCCTATAGATCCATCATTTGCCACTCCACCACGGATAAAGTCAGATGACGAAACTTGCAGAAATGGTTATAAACCTATATATTCACCAGTTACCCCAGTAACTCCTGGCACACCAGGAAATACGATGCACTTTGAGGTAAGAAATGTAAGTGTACTATTCGGCAGTACGGGAAAAAATTTTGAGAAAATAAGTAACAATTTAAACTTTTCCAATAAAATAAGTCAAACTTTTTGATAATTGAGAGTAAATAACTACATTATCAGGTAGCTGACCACATTATCAAATATCCCTTTAAGTATACATTTATTTTGAGAAATAGAAAACAAAAACGTTTATAAAATGAAATCCTATAGTAGTTTCTCTTTTAAGCTTTCATTTCTAAAGTTTCAGAGGTTTGGCAATGTATTTCAATTATTTGTCCTAATTTTTTTTATACAGAATATTTCTTCTCCAGAAAGTTCTCCAGAAATTAAGAGACGCACTTATAGTCAAGAGGTAAGATCCTGGAGGAAAACACGACTTTTCCCTGGAATCATTATTGTGTTTAAATTTTTTGTAGATTTTCAGATAAGCAATGTTTTATGTGGTTAATTTTTTTTTTTAATTCTAAACAGGGATATGACAGATCTTCAACCATGTTAACATTGGGGCCTTTTAGAAATTCTAACTTAACTGAACTGGGTCTTCAAGAAATAAAGACTATCGGTTATACCAGCCCCAGGAGTAGGAATGAAGTCAGCAGGCAGTGCCCTGGAGAAAAGGATGCCATGTCAGATCTTCAACTGGGACTTGATGCAATTGAGCAAACTGCCATACATAAAAGCATGGAAACACCTACACATGACAGGACTGAGGCCAGTAGCCAACTGGAGTCTACCCACTCTGCACGAAGCATGATGTATTCTTCCTGGGTAAAGAGTCCTGATAGAACAGGCGTTAACTTCTCAGTAAACTCCAACTTGAGGGATCTGACACCTTCACATCAGTTGGAGGTTGGAGGAGGCTTCCGAATAAGTGAGTCAAAGTGCCTGATGCAGGATGATACTAGAAGCATGTTTATGGAAACAGCTATGTTTTGTACTTCAGAAGATGGGCTTGTAGCTGGTTTTGGACGGACAGTTAATGAGAATTTGATCGACGGAAGTTGCACACCCCAGAATCCACCACAGAAGAAAAAGGTTACACATTTAACAATTTCTAGTACTTTTAATACTTCTAAATATGTTGTTAGAGTAATGAGAGCTGTAGTATGTATTATGTAAGGCATTCTTAATTATTAAAAAGTTATATTTTTGATATGCCAATTTTTTAAACTTCATTAGAAAATGTTTGGAGGGAAAATGGAAACTATTTTGAGGGGCATGGTTACAGAGGCCAAAATTTAAAGATGGATTCATTTAAAAAATAATAAATGTTCCCAACCATATAGAACTGGATAGTATTTGTATTTCTTTTCACGCTTATTTTACATAGACTAGGCAGTGTGGTACAGAAGAAATTTTTCTTTCTTCATTCGTTATAGCTGTTAGTATTTAGACCCTGGCTATAAGAGTATGTTGGAAATGATTGTGCTAGTAGATAGTTATGTTATATATAAGCAGTATTATTACAAATAATTGAGGGACAGAATGCCTTATTTCAGAAGAAGGAAAAAAAAAAGACAATATTATTTTATTTGCTAATATAGGCTTATTGCTGTACAAGTCAAAGAATTTTAGTGATGTGTGCTTTTAATTTTTATAACAGAGTCCAGTTGGCAACTTTGTGGGAAGCAATGTAGTATAGTGGAAAGAGCACGGGCTTTCAAGTAAGACCTAGGTTCGAATCCCGGCTCCAACACTCACCAGCTGTGTGACCTTGAGTGAGTGAGTTACTCAATTTCCTCATCTGTAAAATGGGGATGATAATATACCTATTTCATAGGGTTGTTGTGAGGATTAAATGAGATAATAATGTATGTAAATTATTTAGTAAAATGCCTGGTATAAAATGGGCATTTGGTAATTGCTAATTATTATTATTTGTTCAGAATCAAATTATTTTACATAATTTTCCTAATGTAAATAAAATATTTTTTATCTAAAAAAGTGACTGGCTCTAACACATGTAACAAGAATAAGAAATTTGTTTTTCCCTATTTTTCTTAAGGTTTCTCTATTAGAATACCGTAAGAGACAACGTGAAGCTAGAAAAAGTGGCTCTAAGGCAGAAAATTTTCCACTGGTTAGTGTATCGCCTCATACAAGTGGAAACTTGAACCACCATGGTGATGGGTGTGCCAACACTAGTGAAAATGGGGAGCAGGTAGAAAACACTGCTAGCCTTCCTTTACCAACACCAGCTGCTGCTTACAATGTTGCTTCTGAAGAAACCAGCAATAACTGTCCCGCTAAGGAAGCTTCTACTAGTGAGAAGAATGAGCCAGAAGTTCAATGGTAAACCTGTTTTTAAAACCTATTTGGTGATTTTAGTGATATATAGTGACACGTAGCTGATATTTATGAAGGTTTTAATTATGCCATGCTAGAAAAAAAAACATTTTATTAATGAGCTAGCTTCCTATATTTCTCCCAAAGCTAAGTACAAGTTTGTGGACATTTATTTTTTAGTGTTAAAGGTTTACCCTGTGTAAACACTCTGTAATCTTATCTATATTATTCATATACATATTCATCTCCAAGAAACTTTTATTGCAGTCAAATTTTGCAGTGCATTTAAAGCTCCTTCCAGTTATGTTGAACAATGAAATGTAGTGTTTCTTCAGTAGGAATAAGAACACCTTGATGTAGGATTGTTCCTGGCTAAGACCAGGAAACCATATTCACTGTTTCCTGGGAACTTCACAATCCTCAAAGTAATTTTACAGAGGCATGTTTTACTATCTTGGAAAACTGGTTTCATATTATGAATGTAAATAATACATGTCCTTCAAATTCCCCCTCTTGTCATTTCCTCAAGAAATTGCAGATGTCAAAGGAATTGAGTTTGACTGAGTTTTTAAAATATAAAAGAATACAAAGTTCAGGGCTGTGACTAAGGAAAATTAGCTAGTTTGAAAGCTTCACACCAACATATTTTCCTAGCCCAGCAGAAGTCTTGTTTTAACAGCACATTGACTACCATGGAGAAGCTTCTTCTGGTTAACAATAATTTTATTTTAAAGGACTGCATCTACGTCAGTTGAACAAGTGAGAGAAAGGAGTTACCAGAGAGCTTTACTTCTTAGTGATCATCGAAAAGATAAAGATAGTGGTAAGTGAGCTTCTTCACTGAGCAGTGCAGTCAGCTAATGAGTCTGTAGCCTTGTTCTTTCTGTTCTAATGCTCTCTCTGGGTCTGCTTCTGCTTCATCTCTAGGGGGAGAATCACCCTGTATCTCATGTTCACCGAGTCATGTTCAGTCTTCACCTTCATCTCATTCAAATCACATTCCCCAGTTGCAACCTAAGGGCCCAGTCCCTTCTTTCTGTGAACTTATGGAAGGTCAGTAAACAGATGACCTAGCATGGTTATACTTTTAAACATATTTTAAAATTTGAAGGAACAGTAAGATGTAAATTCCTTTGTGCTAGTAATAAAGACAAAAGGTATTATGTGATTTTCCTTTTACATTGGTTTCTTCTGCTTTACAGACCCGGATTCTGAAAATCCGGAACTCACAACTACAAATGAATGTCCATCCCCAGATATTTCTCAAAAGACTTGTAAAAGCCCTTCAAAAGTGAGCAAGGTAAATAACATTACCCCTTTGAAAACAGCTACTGGGAAAAGCTGATAGTAACATATGTAGAGGGGCTTTTTTGTTGTGTGTGGGTTTTTGGCTTGGTTTTGTAGTTGTTCTCCACCAAATGCTGATTCGTGATTAGTAGGAACTATTTTACTTACCACGTAATTCATTTTTGCACATCTTAATAATTTACATTTTCTCTAAAAGTTTTATGATAGTCTACTCATTTCTAGGACCTGAATACTCTTTTTGTTATTAAATTTTTGAAAAACCAATTAAGGGTTCATTTCTAAGTATTAATGCATACCTCCATTCTGGGCCTTGAAGGTTTTTGCTAATCTAATGTGATCATATAAAGGTTTAGCAACTAAAAATAAAGATTTTCTACATTTAAGTAGTTCTATTTTTGGATTAATTTTCTTTGACTATATTAAAAATTGAAAGTTTGAGTGGAGCATATGTCATTATAAAAGCCAATTTATCATTAGGTTTAGTATAGAAATTTCAATTATGACAAAACTTGGTAATTATTTTTAGGGTTCTATAAGTAAAGCTCAAAAACAGGTTCCATGGCTTAAAGGAGAAAAAGGCCAATTTTATTTCAAAGACTGTTACTTTGTCTTCAAGAAAATGTTATTCAGAGGATTAAGCTTAATGAGAACTACTAGAAAAAAACTGACTTCTCAAACCTGACCTGTTCTCTGCCCCTTTAAAAAAAATTATTTCATTTCAATTATCAACCTGATGAATCCTCTTGGTTACAAAAAGGGTCCTATTTGGTAAATATATGACTGATATGATGTGTTTTCTTTTCATAGCCTGGTTCACCTGGACCTGCTCAGTCACATGGGAAAATACCCATAAAGCCAGATCTCCACTGGGAAGCAACAGTTACTGCACCAGAAGCTGAGAATGGTGTGCACCTAAAAACAGAGCTCCAACAAAAACAGCTATCAAATAATACTCAAGCACTTTCAAAAAGTCATCCTCCTCCACCACACCCTCGAAGTTCATCTGAGCAACTGTCACAAAAGCTGCCTTCTGCACCAATGAAGTTGCACTGTCCTCCTTCACCTCACTTAGAAAACCCTCCAAAGTCCTCCACGCCTCACACACCTGTACAGCATGGTTACCTTTCACCAAAGCCTCCTTCACAGCAGTTAGGATCTCCCTACAGGCCTCATCATTCACTGTCACCTCAAGTTGGAACACCTCAGCGAGAGTCTCAGAGAAATTTTTATTCAGCAGCACAGAACCTTCCAGCCAATACGCAGCAGGCAACTTCTGGAGCATTATTTACACAGACACCCTCAGGACAATCTTCAGCAACATATAATCAGTTTAACCAACAAAATTTGAACAGCACGGCACCACCCCCTCCACCCCCTCCGCCTCCTTCTTCATCTTACTACCAAAACCAGCAGCCCTCTGCAAACTTTCAGAATTACAGTCAGCTCAAAGGTAGTCTTTCCCAACAAACTGTGTTTACATCGGGACCAAATCAAGCACTTCCTGGCACCACGAGCCAGCCGACAGTTCCAGGACACCATGTTACTCCAGGGCATTTTTTGCCATCTCAGAATCCTACTATTCATCATCAAACTGCTGCTGCTGTCGTTCCACCCCCTCCTCCACCACCACCTGCCCCAGGACCACACCTTGTACAACAGCCAAATTCCCATCAACAACACTCTGTAGCACATGTAGTAGGGCCTGTCCATGCTGTGGCTCCTGGGTCACACATTCATTCTCAAACTGCTGGGCACCATTTACCACCACCTCCTCCACCTCCTGGTCCTGCTCCTCATCACCATCCACCCCCACATCCCTCCACAGGACTCCAAGGTCTACAAGCACAACACCAGCATGTTGTAAATTCAGCACCTCCACCACCACCTCCACCTCCACCATCCAGTGTTTTGGCTTCTGGGCATCATAGCACATCAGCTCAAACCTTACACCATCCTCCTCATCAAGGACCTCCTCTGTTTCCTTCAAGTGCTCATCCAGCTGTTCCACCATATCCCACACAAGCTACACATCACACCACTCTGGGACCGGGACCCCAACACCAGCCTTCTGGAACAGGGCCACATTGTCCATTACCAGTCGCAGGTCCTCATCTCCAGCCCCAAGGACCAAACAGTATTCCAACGCCTACTGCTTCAGGGTTCTGTCCTCATCCTGGCTCTGTGGCCCTGCCACATGGGGTTCAAGGACCTCAGCAGGCATCTCCAGTGCCTGGACAGATTCCAATCCACAGAGCACAGGTGCCACCAACATTTCAGAACAATTATCATGGTTCAGGGTGGCATTAATGGACTCTAAAAACATTTTTTTAAAAAATGTTCTGTAAGATAAACTGTATATTTCATATGTACCTATTAAGGTACTTTTTAAAGCTTGTACATGAAACTTTGTATAAAAAAACCAAACAAAAAAAAAAACCAAACAAAAAAAAAAAAAACCAACCAACAAACACCAGTGCTCTTTCATTGTAATTTTCCCATTTTTTGCTTTTAAAATTCCTTTAAAAAATGTGCTGTTAAGCCAGTATTAGGTATCATTTATTTTGTAAGTGAACATTCCAGCTGTTTTTCCGGCAGTAGATTTGATGCTACATGATTTTTAAATTTAATTGTTGCCATTAAATTCATTTAGTGAATGTCTTCTATATTTTATACATATGCATTAAGTACACAGCTAAGTGATGGCACTATGAGGATTTTTTTTCCTGTCAGCAATTCTGTGGGTGCATCTTAGACTAAAAAAAATGCAATACAGATTTTTATAGTTTGGTGTGGACATGGCTCATTTTGTTTTACTGATTATTTGCAAGCAAAATGTAATTTAATGTATAGATGATTTCTAATGTCTTCTGATAAACTGTAAATATTGCATTTCTTTTGCGTAAATAACTGCTTACAGCTTTCCTCATTTGATATATAGCATTGTACATATGACAAGTCTTTTGCAAAACTGTGTGATCTTTGTGAAAGTAGTACAGTATATGACCTTTAATTTCTTTTTTATTTTAAATATACTGTCACATTGAAGCACTGGTTGGGCATTTTAATTCATGTTAATAAATCACAATTATGTCAGTTTTACCAAATTGTCCTGTACAGCTTTTAAGACCGGGGGGCATGGTTAGGTAATTAGAATTGTGACAAAAGTTAGTTTTCAGATTTGTGAGAAACCTTTTTTGTGCAGCACTCACTACCTCACTTGAACGGTAGCAAGCCTTAGTTGTACCTTAACTTGCCATTTTTGCAGGAGCACTAGTCATAGGACTTCTCCAGGATTCATGTCATGAAAATTTAGTATATCTCATAGAAAGAATGATTCTGTACTAAAACACTTCATACATAACAGTTACAGACTTGCTTTCAATTTATAATAACTTTTTAAAAGGAATAGTTGGCCTGAAAACAGGAAAATTTAATTTGCATTTTGACATGACTGAAGAGTTTCACCAATGGAAATGGTTTTAAAATATTTCTAAAAATTGGAAACATCTTTCCTTACATTTAGGTATTTAAGGGAAAAAGGAATTGTACTAAGATCTCTGAAGTAAAATAAAAATTTCTTAAGTAAACATTTTATTACTAAATCATAAGATGTCAACTTTCTGAAAAATAATATATTCCTAGCTTTTGTCTTTTCTCATGATAATTTAAACATATCCAATAGAAAGGGCACTATTTATCAATATAATTTTCATTATTCAATTAGTTGAAGCAATTTGGCACAATGCACCTTGGAGGAAATAAGTTAAAACACACTGGTGGCCTAGTGGTAAGAAGCTATGCTTCAATCCTGAAGCCTCGTGGTTCAAATCCACCAGTTGCTCTTGCCTCTAAAAACCTGCTGGAGGGTCAGTTCCAACTCAACAGTTAACAACACACACCTTGGAGGGAAAAAAAGTTAAACAGTCTAGAAAAGATTAAATTAAGATTATTAATCTTAATTAATCTTATACATTTCCATTTTCTTCCAGAAAATAGCTAGTGATGACAGTGACATTGAAAAGCTATCAGGGATTCAATCTAACCCTAAGTTTTAAGATTTAGAAGATCAACTTTGCCATCATTTATCTGTCAAACAAAATTCTACTTTAGGCATTCACCAAGGCAGCATTTGTCTGAGAACTAGCTTTACATTTCCTATCTCCAGACAGCCTGTGTTTCAAACACGGAACACAGTTAATCACCATGGTAAAATACCATATTCACCTCCTTAAAAGGATATTCCTTATAAGGATTTTTAATTTTTCAGTTTTAAAGTTGTCTACTGTAACATGGCTAGAGACGCTTGTGTGTCATTCCTTCATGAGAATTTACGTAGTCTCAAATATTTAATTAAAATTGTGTTTTAAAAAAAGGCGCAACTTAAACAATTTCACCTATGAGAAAACCGAAAGTATTTTCACTTCTGTGATGACAGTGGCCTTACTTTTTCTCTGCTTATAAGTTAGGTATTCCTCAGCTATATGAAAAAGGATCATATTAGTAAACTAATTTTCACCTCAAAAGTTTGCCTACATCACATTTTCTCTGCCTTTGGGAAACTGTCTGAATTTACTAGAAACATGTTCAAGGTGATATCCATAAAAACTTTACATGGACTTTAAAAAAGGGCATTAAACCAACTCAATAAGCTTTGGCTCTTCTAAGATTTTGCACAGCCAATGCATAGCTCATTTAGCTTATATGCCTTCTTTAAATAACAAGTCACCAAGTATCTACAAAACTATACTGCTGTTCCTCGAAGAGTTATCCCCCTAGAACAATCTGTTTATGAACTAGTGAAAGGGGTATACTTTATAAAATTAATAATCTGCTTCATTTCTGCATGGGCCAAAACTATACTGGACAAATTTCAACTCAAGTGTGCTGTCATCCTGGCAAAGATTACATACACTACAGACAGACACAAATGCATTCTGTGTGTGCATTGCCTATGGGAATTCTGTTTTAAGACCTACAGCCACCATCTTACATGGTCACCCTATAGAAAAACTTCCCATGCATAAATGAACCATAGGTATTATCTCACAGCAATATGTGATACAGTGCTAATTCCTAAGATTATGTGTCTTGTTTCTTCCTGGTGAATACTGTTCAAACAAAAATTGCAATGATGCTTCAACAGAATGCAATTATTGTGCTTTTGATGAAACATGGATGAAAAAAGACCACTGCAATTCTACTTAGAGTTTTACATACTACAATTCTACCTACTGTGGCTTCTTTACTACATACAGTCTGCTCTTACAAAATAAGACTTACTTATGAGTTATGCAATTACATTTTGCACTACACTAAAACAGTAACAAAAGTTTGTTGATTCTGTAACTTCAAACATAGGCCAATGACCAAGACAATATCTGGGGCGGGGAGAAGAAAAAACCTTTAATTTTTAAGACAACTGCAAGCACCTCAAACAATGGGTTATTGTTGTTACAACACTTGGTATCTTTTCACAATCTAGTTATTGCAAAGGCGTATGGGTAAATGTTAATGGACAAAAGTCAAGAAAAATGAGGCACCTTAATGAATGTAAAATTAAAAAGAAAAAAAACCAAACAAACCAAAACCCTTACATTCATCCCACTGACTTCTAAAAGAGGTTAAATATACCTCTGCATATTACATTCTAAAACGGCATTGACTACTATGGTTTGTGTCCTGGATTCTACAATTAATTTTAAGGAAACGCATAAGCAAAAATGTGCAACCTGTAAAGGGAAAAAATTTTCTCTACTTCAGTTCATTTAAAGACAATGAGAAACTTGTGAAAATTTGTTGTAGCAATACATACAACTACTACAGAATGAATGTGGTCACTGTCACCTCTGAGCTGTTAGCAGTCTGTTCACTGCTCTGCAAATTGGATATATCGCACTTTGTGTTTCAGACACTCATGCTTCTCCCACCCCCCATCCCCTGAAAAAAACCCCAAAACTTATTTTCATTCCACACACTGGACATGTTTCTACTGCCAATTTAATCTACGTGTAGCTGCTTGACAGTGTTTGGAGGAGGCAACACCACATGGTACTGGGTTGTCATTTTTTAAGGGAATTTTTTTCCTTTTTTTTTTAAAAGTTCTTTGAAAAATATGTAAAAATACAAATGGGAGTGCTAAATTATAATGCGTATTTCAGAAGGAGAAGCATGTCTTTTTCTTCCTTTAAAGTGCCACGTAGGTAATGAAATCTTGTAAACCAGAGACACACTGTTTAAAATCCAATGTAAAAGTTCTGTTATGGAATGAAAAGTCAACACAGCTCCTTGGAGTAGTTAAAAGTCGGCTACATGCAACTTGGGCTACAAAGCACTCACGACTTGGTAGCTTTCCTGAAGTTTGAGTCCCCAATTCCATATTTAATGGAAATGAACATTTACAGGGTGCATTTACATACACTATAATACAGGAATGAATGTCCCTTTGCCAGAAGATAAAATAGTACATTTCCTTGCTATTCCTTAATTCCAACTTGATAATTTCTTAAGATTGTAAATTATATAGTACTCAGCTAAAATAGTTCTTCATAAATAGTTACAAAACCTGTCAAAACACAAAGAGGAAAAGTATTTTTCGTTCAAAAAAAAAAACCAAACCAAAACAAAAAACAGTTGAATGTCACACAACACAAGAAACAATTCTTAGAGACATGTTATTGTTTCCAGAAGAAAGTGGGTCAGTAAACTACTTAGCCAAAGACGAAAGACTACCTTTCCCAGGATCACAGTGCACAAAAAAGCAAAATGTCAAACAACAGTACCTCAAAGCAAAATAAAGGTCTGAGGATGAAGCCAGCTCACTTGTAATCCTGTTAAAGAATGAGAGTCATCGTTTAGGTCCAATGTGCTGGAAAACACTTGCTAGCTCAGAATTCTGTATTTGGAGAATCTGCTAAGAATTCAACCAAGGATGCCGAAGGCATTCGCCGGCTGAGGCTCGTTTCTCTGGAACCATTTCTAGCATTGAGATCAGGAAATCAGTAAACTGTGCAGCGTCTTCATGGGGCCATCCATACTTCTCCACAAGTACATCAAAGAGGCTCCAGGGCTTCAGCTTGGTGATGTGCCGTAGTTCTCCTACAATAAAAAAGACACACCAGTGTCAAAAGAGGTTCCCATCTGATTTCTCACTGCTGGCTCGACTGAGTTCTTTCCAGTGAGACACACAGCCTACCTGCTCCACACTTCATGGAAATGTAAGCCGACAGGCCTTCCCCACAGAGTTCAAATAAACGTTCAAATAAACCTGATAGAAATCACTCCCTGAGTGCCATTAAATTAGAATCGATACACAGCTGACCCTCCAATAGGTTTCCAGAGGCTGTAAATCACACAGCAAGTTACTGCCCAGATTTCTTTTTTTGAGAAACTAATGGATTTGAACCACATGCCTTTAGGTTGGCAGCACTACTCCCTACTCACTAGGCCACCAGAGCTCTCTGATACAGAGACAAGGACTCAAGTACTTCAAGTGAAATGAGCACACCCCAAATATTTTCATTGCAAAGGTTGATGAAGTGCCTTGCTCTAATTTGGGATTTAGCAAAAAATTTTAAGATCTACGCTCAATTTCTTAGATGTTAACAAAAAAGAATTTCCTCTAGTGCAGTGCTATCCCATGGAATTTTCTCAAGATACTAGAGATACTCCTTATAAAGAGGACAGCACAGATCTGTTGTTCCTAAGGTCACTGTGAGCCAGACTCAACTTGATGGCACCTAACAAAAACACATGTGCTTACCTGGCACGTGAAATGAGTATTAATTTGTTTAAATAGTCATATGTGGACAGTGTTTGGTGGAGCCCCCCTAGATTAAGACAGGCTTGGAAGCAGGAGTGGCATCCACTTCCTAAACAACATGCCTCTGGAAACTCTATGAATTTAGAGAAATAACAACAGTTACAGAACAGGGTTCAGGTCTTTTGTTGATGGAGTTGCTATGAGTCATGCTCAACGTGACGGCAATCAACAACAACAACATCTGTCTCGGGGATACCGTACTGCAAAGTATAGTTCTAGAAGCAAATGTGTATCAGGTATCACTGAAGTCTACAAATTTGCTGTAAAATTAAGATTCGAGGACATCACCATGTAAGCCTTGAGGTTATACTTTTCAAAATGATCTTGCCGTCCTGAATTAAGTGCAGCATGTCAGCAGCCTTGATGGCTACTTAGTATCTGTGACCTGTAATGGCTTTTTTCATAACCAAAACCGCCCACTGCTACTGAGGTGATTCCAGTGCATGGAGACCCGTCACCAGGTTTCTGAAGCCATAAATCTTAACAGGAGCAAATGATCACAACTCTCTCCCTGAGAGGGGCTGGTGGATGTGAAATGCCAACCTTTCAGTTAGAACCCAACACAGGAGGTATAATCCACAACAGTAACAACTACCACCAGAAGATTTTTTAGGTTAAACTGCCAAAATAGCTGTGAGTTACTAAGAGTATCCGATTTATGTTGGAGCTGTTCACAGGACATTCTCTCTTTGCAGAGAGGCCAGAGCGATCTGTAGACTTTGCATGGGAGGCTCCGCGTGCCAGCTGTACTGTGTCCAGGATCAGAAAGGAGGCGCCCAGGACCTGGTTGCCCTGTGGCGTCCATTTTCTTCAAGATATGTCCGCAATAATAATACGTTCTGCACCACAAAGGTCATCTCAGGGGACCTGGGCTGTTCCCCTGATGTATCCAAATCCATTTAGAAGACCACCTCCTTTATTTTCAGTTGTAAAACAAATGGAAGAACATTACTGAAGACTGGGGCAGGAAGAACTCCTAATGCCACTTCACTAACTCAATGCTCTTTTCTTTTTGCCCAGTCTTTCCATTTGCCTGGTTCCAGAACTGCAATCATGATGTGCACACTATTCTTCTTAAAATGCTCTAGTTAAAAACATTAGCAATTAAAACAAGCTTCTGGCCTCAATGAGAGGCCAAGGAAGCTGCTGTCTTGGAGGTGGAAAGGTGGCCACCCCCGGAAAGGAATGCAGCATGAGCAAGGCCACCACTTGGAGACGTACTTCTTTCAGCCCGAGGGGGAGAGATCTTGACACACTGCATCCTATCTCTAAATCACACTCCTTTAAAAATGATGTGCTTGTAAAAATGGTAAATGTTCAATAATAAAATACCTGCCTCTAAGAAACACCTTGGTTACACTTCCTCCAAGATTGATTTGTTCTTCTGGAAGCCCATACTCTATTCAATATTCTCCACCAACACCACATCTCAAAGGCAGCAATTATTCTTTGATCTTCCTATTCATTGTCCAACTTTCACATGGATGTAATGCAACTGAAAATACCATCACAGCTTGAGTCAGGAGAGTTTTTAAATTTACACCCCTGGTCATACTTGGAATTCAAGTCTGTTTTAGATGGGAGTGTGGTGAAGACTCACTAGCACACACAGACCTGTCCTGGCTTTTCCCCTCACGAGTCGTGTTCCAGCTGAGGGGCTGAGCCTGTGGCTGTCTTCACTGTCCACACTGGTGCCGGCAGCCACAAGGCACAACTAGGCCTCCACAAACGTCCTTCCTGGAGCTTCCACAGGGGACTAGGGTCCTCAGGGGACAAAGTGTAGCTTGCAGCATGTTCTAGTCCCCATGTGTGATACTGACCTGTCTGTCCTTTTGCAATGAATTGACTAGTTTTTAAAAACTGAAACCAAGTAAATGAAGGAGAGGCAGTGACTGCTTTGAGCCTCCAGGGGTCAAAAGCCTACAAAAATAGTTTTATTCTTCACAGAAATGAAAATGAGTAGGTTTTAAGGAATTTTGAAAATAAAATCAGTTTAGCAAGTTTCAACTGGTAGCATTAAATATGAAGAACATAGAAAGCAGGACTACTTCTTTTGGGAAAATAGATTTTTATACAATTCATGGGAAACGTCCCAAAGAAGTCCCTGATGCTGTGCCTGGTGGAATGAAGTCCATTGTTTCCAATTCCCACAGTTAATGCAGGCCTAAACCAGAGAGTAGTATGCACTACAAGTGGGCTAGGAACTTCCCACTACCCGAGAGGTAGGCAACGTAGATACATAGGAACACAGGGGAGGAAAATCTGTAGTCTGACATGAATCTCTGTGACCAACTACCATTTAAAGATCCACACACTTGAGAGGACGTCATTTAAAAACCAACTGTTTAGAAAAAGAAAAGGTCAACCGTTCCCTTTGGATCTTCCTTTCTCTACACAAAGATGTTCTGGAAAGGATAGCTGTAAGGCAATAAAAGCAGCAGACAGGACAGGGTGCTCTGGGTTGCAGTGTTTTCTCTATCACCACCTGAGGGCTGGAACACGTCTGAGGGCCCAGCAACCTCCCCAGGGCAGGTTGGTTTAAAAATCCCACAGAGGAGCTGATTCTATTAGGCCAGCCAGCCACACGGGTTTCTTAAAGCTTTTTGGTGCAAATAACTGATGGAAAGCTCAGCATGACAGGGTGAGAAGGAGAATTATGGTCTTCTGCACAAATAAAAAAAAAGAAAGAAAGAAAGAGCTTAATTATTTAAGTCCTGTCCAAGGAATGATTTACAGGGGTCACAATGATTTTACACTGGATTACGAGCAGGAAAACAGGATGACTACAAGCTGCATTTGATTTTCAACTTTAACTTGCCCTCAAACAGGACAGAGGGATGGAAGTCTACTTCACTCTAGTTCTCTATCTTCTGAGGAGACTTAAACAAACAGATCATAATTTTGAGACTTCCTTCTTTTTAGCCTAAGTTTTTACACAAAGGTATTTTGAGTTAAAAAAAAAAAAATTAATGTGTGACTCTTGCTCACAACAGAGTGAGAGATGATAGGATTTGGCCTTGACTTTAAAAAGGCTTTTTGTCTGCCAGTCTGGGGTCTTCCCAGGCTAGAAAGATTAGTGATTCTGCAGAGGTCTGTTTTATGGTTTGGGGTTGAGATCAGGGTGTGGCTCTTGCCCACAACAGAGTGTGAAATGATAGGATTTGGCCTCACCTTTAAAAAGGCTTTTGGGCCTGATGGCCATTTTTGTGTATCTCCCAAATAAAACAGGCTTGGAAGCAAGAGAGGCATCTACTTCCAAAGAGAAATGCTTGCCTCTGGAAACTCTATGAACTTGGAGAAAAGATGAAAGTTTTGCACTCAAGATTTTTGTTCATAGGGTCGCTATGTGTCCTTTACAACTCTATGGTACTTAACACCACGACCGCCACTAAAGTTGTCTTTATTTCCCAAACTGTCTCATTTAGTGTAAAATGCCAAAATACATTTTTAATCAAATAATTTCTCTCATCCTCAGGAACATGGGGAATCTATTTTCATGACAGACTCTTATTCCTGCAAAACAGAACTATATAATAAATGTATGCCAGATGTGTTATAATTAACTACATTCATCAACTGCAATAAATGTTATAAAATAAAATGTCTATCAATGACTGAATGAAAATGTCATAGGACTTGTAAACTTCCACTCAAATAAAACAAAATTATTTCTGTGACTTCTGAGCTCACTGGCCACCAAACACACAACCAACCTTTGGAAGCCCAGGTCCTCGCCATGTGAGGTAATTTCTCCGTGTTAAATGTTCAGGAAGGAAGAAAGAACTCTAGACTGTGATCACTCCAAGTCTAATGTTAATGATTTCTTATCAGCAATGATGCCAAATACACCTTCACTCTACAGGTTACCTTACAGCAAACACCTCCTCAAAAGCACCTGATGACGCACGGGTACTCTGGAGTTTTTCCTAGATAAAGAAAATTCTATCTTTAAACATTTCCTGCATGTATCCTAGGGAATCTCAGTCCATTCTCTCAGTAGTTTCACTGTTTAGATTATAATGTTTATAGTCATAATGTTTTCCTATCTATAACTTTTGCTTTGCAACAGTCAGAGCTATTAATAACATTTCCCTTATTATTAAAATAATACCCACACACCTGTTATCTGTCTGACAGGAAAGGATGCTGAAGTTCAGAGATGATGTGATATGTCTGCAGCTAAAAGCTGAGAGATCAAAGCCACATTCTACCACTGACTGAAGAACTGAACCCCAAAACCAGCAGCCTGAGGTCCAAATGTCCTGAGAAAAGCTGTGGGTGAGGACAAGTGAGCACTCTGCCAGTGACTCACACTCAGCAACCAGATCCTCTGAATCAAAAGTTAAAGTTGATTAGTCGACAACTTTTTCCCCTGTGATGAACCCTTTAAGATTACAAAGATGCACAAATGCTTTTCACTAGGTGGTCCCAGCAATACAAGGGGTGTGATCAGGGTGCTCAGAGCGGTGAGCGAGCAGCAAAGACCCCACCACCAGGAACTTGCCTTCTGAGGTCTTGATTGTGTAACAAATACTATTTAAAGGCTAAAAACAAGGATTGGTTACCAGCACATCACTCAAGTGCACAAAAAAGAATTAGCATTGTGAGAAGAAGGCCGTATCTTATGGGAGACAGGAAGTCAAACTGATTTTTCAAATTTGGCTGAGGGAGTTCAGAGAAGTATCTGGGACTTTGAGAAGTTTCTAGAAAGTGCATGTGCTGCTCACACCTATCAGCAACTCTCCCCTCCTCCTCCTCCCCTTCCTTCCTTCATTAACGTAAATGCTCGGAACTCTCAAGTTGCTCTCTCATCTTTTGAGCTACTGTCAATTATCTTTCATAATTCTTAAGATAATTCATAATTCTTAAGATAATTTCATATCTTTCAAGGTTCTTTTATTTCTATTAACTAAAAAATATCTAAACTAAATAAACACGAATTAAGAACAATAATGATGCTCACCAAAAAAGGTTATATAGCACTAGAGAGTATTCTTTGAAAAGCAAAAAACCACAAAACTTCGATGGGCTTTTGAGTATTGTTTTTTAAATGATCACTAACTGAGGGCGATACAAGAGCAGTGAAAACAGTCACTCAAAACCATGTCAAGGGGCAGACGAGCAAGAAAAGCAACCTGAAATCACCCACAATGTAATGAGAAAGTGAGACCTGAGATGTGCTGTCTACACTGAGCAGCCCTCCTACACTCCAGGATGGCTGCCCCGACAGGTCACGGAGACAGCCTCTGGGCCTCTCCTGTCCTGCTGCAGACAAACCTGGGTGCACAAACAGAAAGGTAAGTCTAGCTGGTAGTGAAGACTTACATAAAGATCTTTTCACAATCACTTAAATGCACAAACTGGTGCATGAGCTGAGGCAGGGGAGTGCAGGATGATGCAGGAAAGAGCGTTCTTACAAAAGGCTTATTCCACAGAGAGCAGAAGGTGGGCATTCACTTCGTTCTTCAGCAGAATTCCCCAGCTGTAAAATCCACCTTTCTTCACTGCCCAAACATGAATGCAGTTTTTTCCTTTTGGGAGAAGGCTATGCTGAAAATTAGTGTTGTATAAATACCGTTACCTTTTCTGGTGAAAAACTCCTTGGAATATTTTCCCAACATAGCGTATTTTCGAGGGATTTTTCCCAGCAGTTCAATGATCAATGCTATGTGATCTGCATTGGAAAACATTGCCAGCAAAACAGAAACATATGACAGTTTAATCAGTACACTGCATGCAGTCACGGCCACTGCCCGCGCAGACAGAAACAGAGCATGCTGGCGTCCCTGGCCAGGCCCCTGGACTCAGGGTCACCACTGGAGGCCACCAGCAGGCGGACACACCAGAGGGGCCTGTCCTCGGGACGCTGCACCAGATGGGCCAGGCCGCGGGCTGCTGTTAGGGCAAGGCCAAGGGTCGTTCGTTCCCCTGTCCATTTTGAGATCAGCACAGGAATTCTGTGGGGGCTGCTTTTCGAATTGAGGAGAAATGCCTTTGTCACCATTTGTGCTACAATCACAGCTGCTATTCCGTTTCTGTCTGCATCGTGGCGCTTTTCAAAAAGAAGAGGTACTACCTCTGCGATTGAAGAATTCCCGAGAATATTTTCCAGATAGAGCAAAGTGCCTTGGGATACTGCCTAGCAGCTCTATGATGTGGGCTATGTGGTCTATGAAGGAGAGAAAAAAGGATACGGGAATGGGAGGGGCAAAGGGGAGGATGGGATAAAAGAAGAGGGGAAAAAATTGAAATTAGTAAAAAATCAGAAATAGATTCCAATCAACAATGTCTGCAGCACACCCATGCAGAGGCTCTGGGGCTGACAGGCCTCAGGCACCATGTGGCGCTTTGCCAGCAGTGACTGACACCTGTTCGCCCCAGGACACCCCAGCACCACAAGCAAGTAAGCATGGAGATGGTCAGGTCTGCAGATGGAATTGTGGCCAGAATGTGGCTCCCAAACAGGACAAGTGCCTGGATAAAAGGGTCACAAGGAGGTGTGGCTTGTGTAGCCTGCATCCTCGGCCAGTGGCCTTCCCTGCCCAGGGGGGTCTGGACCACAGACTCCACAGCGTGGGCCAGGCCAGTGCTGCCCACTCACTGAGGAGGGGCCACACTCGGAGCAAATACGGAGTTCCGTGTTTGGAAACCAGATCCTGGCTCTACCCTGGTGCAAAGCCCTCTCCAGCAGCTCAGGACTCACAGGAGACCCAGTGGAGGCACCAGCTAGTGGCAGTACTCACCTTCATCCCTGGAATAATCTTCCCCAGAATGCGGCTCAAACAGATAGTCCCCTGTGGCCAGCTCAAATGCCTAGGACACAACAGATGACAGGCTAAGCACATCAGAGGGACCAGCCCCACTCAGCCACCGCTTCTCGTAGAAGAGACCCACATGACAGGGGTATCTGAAGTGAACCACAGAAACTCCCTAAGGGGAAGACCACCAATTTTTCCTTTTTTCCATCAAGTCCAAGGCAGCCTTGGAAATACATTTACATTTCCTCTGTAATGGAGATGAGAGGGAGATGTCTCCCCTTCATTTTGCAGGAAAATTGACATGTCAGTGAGTCAGCGCCCCCAGGCAGTTCTGACCTCCCTCAGCTGTTACACACTGTGCTAATGGAGGGGCCAGGATTCCACTGGATTGCAGCACAGGCCTGTGCAGCCTGGGCACTCGCCCTCAGCCTCTCACACTAACCTGGCAGATCCCACTGCTTTACTTAAGCACAGCCTCATTCATTAGTAACTGAGAGCATTTTCATTCTCATTTATCTCTGACTTAACCAATAGAAAACCTTGAACCATGAAGGTCCTCTCTCCAGCCCGTGTCCTCATGGACCACATCAACTTGCAGCTCCACCCGAGGGCAGTGAAGGAGAGCTGTCCACCCCTCAGCCCAGGAGTTGGGGAGGCTGTCTGTTACATTTCTGCACAAGGCTCTACTTTGTGGGCTCTCTTACAAACACTTGGACCAGTCTTTGCTTTGATAACAACATAAAATTCAGCAAGTACAGTCTGCCCTGTTCATATCTGGACCCTGAATCATGCTGCTGTGAATGGGGTTCAAGGGCACATTCCATTTCATTCCTGGCTATAAAGTCCATGATCTTCTCGACAACCTCTGCCCTCCATGCTTGAGGAGACTTGTGTGGATCAAACCAGCTTCTCTGTGTGCCCACAGCACACTGAGCAGGGGAACCTGGCTCGGCCTGGGTGAGGGGCCCACTCTTCTTATCACTGCCATTAGCAAACCTACAGTGGGCACCACTGGCCTGGGACCATTTCTTTTCACTGGTTTGGCCTCCAGCAAGACTGCACATGAATGGCTGAAGGAAGGAAGAGACTCGCAAGACTGTTAGCAGCAGCAGAACTCCTGTCCTGAACCCAAAAGAGCTATCCACGTGCTGCTGGGACAACGGGAGACCAACAGACCCTGGAAGGTCTGCACCTGTGCCCTCGTCCCACCACCAATCCATGAGGGAGACAGCTGAGCCCTTTCACCAGATAAGAAAAACTTCACATCTGTTCCCAAATCCAAGGGTGACTCACACATGCCTTGTGCTGAGAGTCTTTCTAGCCTGGGAAGCAATGCCAGCCTGCGAAGGAATCTGTTCCCAAGAATAAAACTTGAACATACTATGGGAGGACAGACTTGAAAAGCCACTTGGATGAAGACTGCAGTGAAAGCCTTCATGACCACAGATTGTGGTTCTCTCCTGCACGGACATGGCGAAGAGAGGTGAAGCGAAAAGTCTTATTAGATCAGAGGACATGTACCTGCAGAGACCTGAGCTACAGACTGAGATATATGTGTAGGAGACAGACATCCAGAGGGAGAAAGGCCTGCCAAAGCCCTTGTCCAGAAGAGGAAAAACATCTTCCAGTAAAATTCCCAACTCAAAGGAGCCTATCAGTGAAAGAATGATTTTGAATAAAACAAAACATACTCCAAAAACTAAAGAAAGAAGCTCCCTATAATACAACCCTGTTCTGCTTTTCCAGAGAGGGGCAGATTTTCTAAAGACACAGGATATGTAATACAGGACAAAGAAGTCTGTTAAGTAAGACCTCTGTCTCTGAACCTTACAGCATACTTTAAGGTGTCACCTATGAAAACATGAAAGATGAAGCAGTTTCATTAGTGACTCCCAACACACCAGGCAATGTTATTTACCGTTGATATGTGAAGCTCACAATTCTGAGCGTGTTCTTTTCCTTCTGGGCTCAGCCTGAGATGGCTTTCCCTGGACCAACTTCTATTTTTGGGAAAGCATCTGCTCCTTTCTGAAGTACCTGAAACCCCTCAACAGAGTAAGTACCCCACTCTCCAGAGGCACGCCAGACTCACTCCATGGGCTGATCAGTGCTCAAGAAGGCTGATGGAACCCGTTTCCATAGCACCAACCAGATTCCTCACCACAAGTTCCAGCAACGGAATACTTCCAAGGGCTCTGACCCACAAAGCAAAGCGTCAAAGCCTTGGCCCACACACAATTTTCAAGTCACACCCCAGAGCCCAAAAATTTGAAGAAATAAATTTGACAGCTGAATATCCCTATCACTTTGAACAGGTCTGTGTTCCTCCTTCAGCACCAGCTTCCCCTCACTGCCAGGCTCTTACCTGTGTACAAGAACATCCAGCCTAAATTGTGTATACTGCACTGAAACAGATGAGGGAGTGAATAATTTAAAAGTGATGTATGATAGGGTATTATGGTTATCACAAGAGTCCACAATTAAGGTTGCATAGTGAATGTACTTGGGGCAGTGGGAGGG